TTCAATAAGCCATTTTTAGTCTTTTGATACCGACAGGTTAATAGTTTCTTTGAATTCTGAAAGGCAGACGCTCTTTTAGTATTTACAGTGCGTTTTCGTGCTACTTTCACAAACCGATTATAGAGAGGAGAGGGAAGGTTTTAGTGCTTATGACTTTGCATTTGGCTCATCCCCCTTTTGAGGGCAGGTCCGTAGCTCACACATAACTAACTCGTATAGCGCATTCGCTAAGGGAGGCGACAACTTATATACTGCGTATATTTTTTAAAGATTATCGTATAATTTCATTTATTTTCAGTCCTATGATCTGTCCTAGTTTACACACTAGAGTTTCACAAAGATACATGCAATAAAACCATTTAAAAGTGGTTTTATTTAACAATATTGAATGTAATAATGTGAAACACTGAGCACGTGTTATAAGCAGTGTTGTAAATGAAACTGGTTCCATTCAGTTCACCATATATCATTCGTGCGTGTTTTATTTTCGTATTAAGTACCGGCGGCAGTTAAACTCTCGTTCCTTGTTTATGGACAATGTAGTGTGTATGTTATACGCTCGCTTTGATCGAAGGAAGCTACCACATCTCGTAAATATATATAGTATATATACGAGTACTATTAGTACAACAGTTTATGGAATATCTTAAGAAAATTGATATTTTGTATCTCTGTGGATCTGACGGATGGTCTGTCAAGTGTGTCGCGACGGATTAGTAAGTACGCGACGGATTTTCCGTCAAGTGTGCAAGGTCGAATGACATCGATACTAATATTATAATGAGGTAAAGTTTCTTACTTTGTTTAAGGTTTGTATTTACAAAATTTTCTTGGACAAATCATTATTTACTGATTCTTTCAAGAAATTCTTATACGTACGGAAAGTTACATCATACGCGGGTGACGTAGACTTATAATTTACACGGGTGAATATGCGGGAAAACGGCTAGCATCATATAATTTGTCAGTCCTAACGTGACACAACCACCGAGAATAGTTGTTCTGCATTGTTCATTGAATTTTAATAGGTGCTGAAATATTTGTGTAATTAATTATACAACCAATGAAGTGTAAATTTTAGAACATATATCTCTTTCATTCATTGTTTCAACATTGAATAAGACACGAGTGTTATTTGTGCGTATTTACAAATGGCTGATAGTAATTATTTCGTTTTAAGGCTGAGCCTAAAGTACATACCTAAAGTAAATAAATAGGGACACAAGATTTCATATTGAACCAAATAGAGCGTCAAAAACAGTTTAATTAATTACTCGTAAACCAATACGATTATATAATATCGTTAAGTTATTAATTCCAATTCTTTATATCAAAGTGTTTATTAAAGATAATTGTTCTCTGACATTAAATTAAAACTACTTATCTAAACTATTTCTTAAAATAATATCTAAACTAAATTAAAAATGTCTCCCAGATCATTGCCTACAGGTAAGTCTCAAACGGCGAAAATAATCAGGTATAAGTAATACCTACATATTTGAGCCGTTTGGGGTCGAAACGATGGGTCCGTGGGGCCCTGGAGCCCATCGTCTTTATCAAGAGTTAAAAAAGAAACTTTTTGAGAGGTCAGGTGATCAGAAGGCTGGTTTGTACCTCGCCCAAAGAATTAGTGTAGCTATTCAAAGAGGTAATTCCAATTCTTGATTCCGAAGTCACGCATATTTTTTCATCAACTTTCCCTATACTGAAAAAGTATAATTACGAGGAAACATAAACAAAATATCGAAATTTAAAGTGAAATTATTGTCTATCGGGAAAGGACATTGCTCAGCGTCCATACAGTGGTGGCCCCAGAACCAAAAAATATAGGACCATATTTATTTTATTGTGTAATACTAACTAAGTCTCATGATGTATTTATTATACCGCGACCAAGTTGTGGAATCTTATTATCACGCAAAATATATTAGATTTTGAGGTTATAACTGTGCAGTGAATGTTTTTCATTTTCAATATTTAGCAGTCAATAAATGGATTCATTTTTTGGTAAACAGGGATCGATATATAAAAATAAAAATCATAAAGTAGCTAACTTCTCAATTTGACAAGAACCAAATCAATGGGACAGATAAACAAGTTTTTTATTTTATGTAATGAGAAAATAACACCTTAGGGCTGTGGTTAAATAATAATAATGACAAGGAATCATCTATAGCCGCTTTGTTCAAATGTTACTTGGGTTATGGTAGACAAATGAGGTAAGGATTTAATTAAGAAAAAAACACAATAAAAAGGTTTTCTTAATCATTTTATCATAAATGTATTTCAGATATACAGCATTGTGGGGGTATATAATAATTATGGTCTCTAAAAAGCCTCACTCTTAAAACGAGTGGGACTAATCGCCGAGAGGTAGAGTTGCAATGGTGAAATATACATCTCCTATGTGTATCTGAAGCCCTTGAGTAGTTCAGCAAGATTATACTTTTAGTAATACTGCTTTCATTAATTCCTGGATGTTCATTATTGGTAAATTGACTGGCGCCGCGCGGCGATTAGTTCGAAATTTGTATAGCAACAGCGCGCGAAATGCCAAATAATACTGTTATAAAATTTGTATGGATTATAACTTAACTATTTGCTTTGGTAACACACGCGTTTTTTATGACCCGCTTTACGCTACATATTTAAAACCGGTGGAATTACATCAGCTTTACGAGCAAAGGTGTTAAAAATAGTATTTGTTGCATCAAATCTGTTAGTTGACTAATATGTAGACGAAAAATAAAATAAGGTAATGAATATAATATAATATACGTATTATACAAATATTATATAGTATATAGTTTTTTTAACCAACTTGACGATCACCGATTTTCCACCAAAATCGCAAAAGCTATTACAATTATTTTTTTATAATACAGTTTATGGGCCCGAGGTGTTCTCATGTAGAGTTTATCGAAATTGAATTGACAGTTTTGTTTTTGTAACGGAACTTATTTTTACGAAATTATTTTTCATTAGACTGCATATATTTAGACGATATTCTTATTAACCGACTTTAAAAAGCGATAACTCCGCCAATTTTAATTAATTTTCTAAATTCTTTTTCATTAGACAGCTTCGAGATGGTTCTCATTTAATTTTTATCGAAATTGAATTAGTTATTTTCAAAATAAAAATTACAGTTTGGTGGGACAAAATCTAAATTTAGTCTAGTTTTTGCAACAGAACTGCTATTACTACAGTAGAAAATCGTTAACATATTACCATAATTGTTTAGTTTACAATACTTATTAATAGGAATAAAGGACGGCAGCTCTGTTGTGTATTTCAATATTTGCTTGTTTGATGGCATCATGAATTGAGTTATCTTACGTTTAATGCAGTTTCCCTGTCGCCTGCGCCGGAAATGATGCCGGAATCAGACGTATTTAGATTAAGGCTGAGCGTAGACTAACTGTATTTATCTCATTGCGCCTATTTTTAAAAGTAACTCGCAAATGGCATTAGCGTTACATTCTGTATAAAAAAGGTAGAAATAACGAAAATTGTGTATTTTAGTGGTAACTTTGTGATTTTTATTTCTAAGGATAAAATTGTGTATTCAGGTTCTTATTGGCAAATATAATGTGCTTTTCTTATATTAATTAAATATAAGAAACGTCTTATTTTGACATTATTTATTGGAAGAAAAAGTGTTTGGTGTACAGGTCCTCTTAACGGATCTTATTTAAACAATTAAATAACAATTGTCTTTTTATTAAAAGGTGTAAACATTTATCAGTTTTATACATAAGAATAATTTGTGATAGTATATTTTCGTTATTTTTTTTATACTATAGTACAAAATATAGTATGCAGAGTAAGTTATATAAAATGTTTAATAATATAGTGGTACAGACTTGGCACTTTAGTTTGGCGCCAATGTGGTTTGTTAAATTGTTTGCCTGACAGCCTGAATAGTGGTTATGGTAGAGTCGTATCTCTGCCATCAATATGAACTAATAAAATACAAGTATCGTTTATTAAATGTGATGGTATTTATCGAATAACTGAATTCATGTAAATAGTCCGAGAACAGAAAATTTAATATAAAAACCTTGAAAAACATTATGTTGAAAAGTAAGAGTAGAGTTGTGTTTATAGTTTACAGTACGTTTGAATTAAAGAGAACTTTTAATTATATCATTGCGAAGCGGAGAGAGGTAATTTTTTTATCTCTATAATCCGTTACACTAGAAAATTTATATGTCAATATCGCCTATCTCACAAATCGTAATAAATAGATGTGTTTGGGGGCGTCCATAAATTACGTGAGATGTTTAAGGGGGGGAGGGAGTCGAGTCAAATCTCATCTAATCTCACGTTGGAGAGAGGGGGGGTCTCGGCAAATATCACGCAATTTTTAAAATAAGGCTCGATGCGGGGAATCCCTCATAGAGTGACAAGTCTAAGGTTAAGATCATTCACTAATTCGTTGGAAAGAAAATAATTTCATTCGTACTTTGACATTATACATCACTCCTGATTGTCAAACCACTATACTCGTTTTATACCAAATAGCTCAATTTAATTTGAATTTACGGTACAATGTAGCCCGTCCTTTGTTTTCGCGCCACTGTCAGCTGAACGTGTGACTCGATGAATGAGAGCAATATGGATTACTAGTCTCTAACTAGTCGTAAATAAAAGTACGTAGCGAATTATTTTTTTTTTCTTTTTATTAAAAAATCCAACGTGTTTAAATAAGAAACCCACTTTTTGAAAAATCTCACGTGAGATTTGGGGATGGGGGAGGGGATTGAATAAAATCTCACGACATCTCACCAGGGGGGGAGGGAGGGTCAGAAAATTTGAAAAAACACCTCACGTAATTTATGGACGCTCCCTTTTCTGTGTCAGTATATTGTACTGCAAGTAGTATCACTCGTATTCGATTTCTTATAGGGCCAGAATGACATTTTAGTAAAAATCCTGAACTTATTATTATACTTAAAAATTGTATATTTTTAACAACGAATTGCAAATTGCTTTAGGACGAAGAATCTCTGGATTCAGCGAGACCTGTGTCCAATATAACCCACCACAGTATCATGTACGCTCCCAAATGTCTCGTCATTGTCTCCCGCCAGGATTACATCGACACTTTCAGAGTAAGTTACTTCGAATTACTACTTCTGTTTAAAAATCGGCGCGCGAAAACAATTTATGTTAGATCGGTGATCATACACTAATTTTAAAAATTAATAATTTAACATCGATAAAAAAAAAAGTTTTGTTTCATTGCAGAACTGCTTGGGTATAATCTACACGGTTTGGGTGGAAAATTTAGGCGTGCCCTTAGAGACATTGGTCGGGAATCTGTTGGGGTGCGTACAGGTGCCCGGCGCCGGTGGGCCGCAGGTTCGCTTCAGCATTGGCGCCGGCGACAGGCAGGCGCTGCAACCGCCCGCTGCACCGCCTCTGCCTGTCACGCATACGTCTGTGCATATGTTGCTGAGGTTACTGGGTAAGTGTAATACATTGATCCCGGATCCTACTGAGCAAACCACAATTATGCATGCTAGTGTGCGACTTCCTAATGCCATTTACGGCTACTAACTACGTGCTATGATTTCTTCCGAGCCGGGCAGAGACTTGACTCTCTCACAGATTTTTGATACAAACACTCTCAAGTATTGCATTTTTCATGGTAATTTTCGTTATAATAATCCATAATAATTAATGACAGCAAATTATTTAAAAAAAGTTAAGTGCTTTTTTAAATTAATGTAGTATTTGGCAATGAAATCCTACGTGCTCCCTCTGTTAAACATATATCTATTATGTATACCTACAGATATGTTATTTTACGAAAAAGAGCAGTGAGGTCTATTTATCAATTAGGTTCAACAACATCACTTAGAGATAAATTTAAAAAAATTGGGATATTAACAGTAGCTTCTCAATTGATATACAATTATTAGAAAAAAAATATTAACAATTACATTAAACATGTACACAATTTTAAAACTAGAAACAAAGATTAACTTGTTTTGCCGTCATGCAGGATTAAGAAAGTTCTATAAACATGTATAGGTAGGTCAAGGTATACACTACTATAACAAAATTCCTATAGAAATTTTAAACTTACCCATTGCCTAAACTTAAAACTCATATTAAGAATTGTCTACTCAGTAAAGGATACACTGTTAATGAATATTTAAACGACAAAACTGCTTGGTGTTAAATTTGGCTTATTTTTATGTTTATTAAATTATTTATCGGTGAGCTTGTTTCACTAGACATGTGATTCGATTGACATAAATACTGTTTTAATTTCATATTTTCTAATATTTTAATGGAAAGTGACTTCATATTTTAATGAAGTCATTTTTCAATCTTGACGCTCTGTATAAAATAAAACAGGGAGACAAAAGCAGAGTTTGCCGAGTATTTTGCTGGTTCTTCTGGGGAAAAAAGTCTCCCACTGTAGATTTACGAACCGATAGCTCTTAACTTTCACAAGTTCTTATAAAAGCCTAGACTGAATAAATAATTTTGATTTGATTTGACCTAAACTTTCTATAATTCTGATGGTTTAAGCTTTTTACTTCCTGAAAAGAGTGTGAATTCTTAATGTCCTCGAAATTAATTATTTCTTATTCGTCCCGTTTCAGGCATCCACAATTCTGTAACATTATGGTGTGCGGTTATGAGCGAGCACAAAGTGTTGCTAGTTTCTTTGGCGGCGGCGAGATTAGCCGCGGCGTGTCGTGCACTTGCGGCGCTCATGTTCCCGTTCCGTTACGCCCACGTGTACATACCATTGTTGCCCGCGGGCTTGGCTGAAGTGTTGGCTACTCCGACGCCGTTTCTCATTGGGGTACACTCCAGTCTGAAGGAGGAAGTCTCCGAATTGGTATGTTGTGTGATCATCGCATCAACCTATATAATATCATGAGGCAGGCCATAGCTCACCTCCCAAAAATAGCAGATTCAGTCGCCTCCAATAGTTTGACCTACCTACCGAAAAAAAGACGGCAAGGAGGCTTTAGATAGTAAACTTGTGGTCACTGATGACTGATGTTGACTAAAGTTGCTCAATCTCTTTGGTGGATATGGATTACTGATCCACAACATTAGTATATTCGTAAATATAATTAGCCCAGAAGAGATAAGATCTCTGAAAGTCTGGAATATTATAGACATTTAAAGTTTTACTTAAACTACACAGTAAAATATCAAGTTAGCTAAAGAGCTACTATAATTCTGGTGATGAGTTAACTGTGAGACTATGATATCTAGTACACTCAGCAAAGTTATAGCAATGGCCTTCACCAAGATAATGCATGACTTAATGACATATGAGATAATAATAATACTTCCAATAATCCCAAGCGATCGTGCAAAATATAATAAGAATAAAATCATGTTTTGTTATACAGTTGGATGTAATAGTAGCGGACTTAGACGTAGGCTCGCTTCACATTCCCGTGGGTGTTAACATTCCGCAACCGGAGGGGGATCTACTGTCCACCCTTCAGAGGTCTCTAGCTTTAGTGCTGCAGCCGGAGCTCCGGTCTGCGGACTCGGCCTTCGCCCCGCCACCCCCCGCCGCGTCGCCCCCGCACATGCTAGATAAAGAGATTCGAGCGGTTTTCATGAGAACTTTGGCGAGACTACTGCAAGGATACAGGTATAATATTTCACATTTACTTTTCTGGTACAGTAGTAAAGTGTTTCGTTAAGCAATTCGATAGTACCTCAGGCTATAAACAAAATTCACCTGACGTTAAACCTTAAGTGCACTTTCACATGTATAGGCATTTAGTAGCGTTACCGTAGCGCTTTAAAAAGATCTACGCATATATGTAAAACCACCGTGATACATTGCTAATAGAGTTCGTAAAATAGATTGCGAAAAAGTTTACATCTTTTTTGTATGTTTGTTGAGTAGATAGAGTTTTTGGTCCTTCAAGCAGGATGTTTGACGAATATAACTTGGGAGTTCTCACAGACTCGATTTTTATTACTTGTTGACCTTTTAGTATATAGGCTTTCGTTATGCCACAATCACATAAGAAGAACGTTTGATAATAAAGTGAAGGAAGAAAGCCCTGCCCTGCATTGTCCAATTCTGTCTAATAGAACCATTGCTCTATAGAAACTACTAATAAGTTGATGACCACCTCAATCCTTTTTAGATAAACGTACAAATTGGTAAGGAACCAACCCAACTTTGTGAATGCCATTCAGAATTTGTAACCGTTATGAATTGGAAATTTAAATCCTTTCTGGTTTTTCTACATTGGGGTCATAAATAAGGTTGGTGGCGTTGATGTGTAATGATAACTATCACGTCCACAGACACTGTCTGACGATAATCCGCATCCATCCTTCCCCCGTGCTGACGTTCCACAAGCTCGGCTTCCTGGGTCGCCGCGGGCTATCCACGTGTCCGTTCGCCGTCAGATTACTGGAGTCCATGTTCTTCAACGGTCTGGTGGCTGAACGTGGACCACCGTGGAGAGCCACCGATGTCTGGGATGATCTGTTACAGTATGCCTCTATTTATATATGTTTTATATATTGCTAGATATTTAATTATTTATGTATTTCCGTAGTTTTATGTAGCCGATTTTAAAAGAACAGTAACTCTCTTTTAATATGGCTGATGGTAAAACGTTTGTTAAATAACAGATTTACTGAACAGAATGTTTGATTAAAATGAAAAGAGTCTTGTTTTAATAACCACAAGATATCTGTTTTCTAAAGTTAGGAGTATTTTAATAGTACGTTTGCTCTTAGCCGATCCTAGGGCATGTTCAGTAATTCAAAGACAATTATGAAGTCTTTAAAAATGGTTCTTAAGTTGTTACTAAACAGCACAGCGCAGCTTTTAATCTCATTTCATCATCATCATCATCATCGGCCCTTTTACGTCCCCACTGCAGGGGCTCAGGCCTTCCTTATGGATGGTTAAGAAGGATGGGCCATGACCCTCCATGCTGGCCCAATGCGGATTGCAGGGTATTAACGACTGCCAATAATGTCATTTAAATAAATACATAACATTCTGTTCCAAATTGGTAATGTCTAATCTTCCACCTTACAAATGAAGCTTCTAAAGCTCAAAACAACATATACTCTATCGCAGAAATCTCCCAGAGCAACTTCGCCTCGAAGGTCTGAATCCAGAGCTGGAGTTGCAGCACATCCAGGACCTCGCCATGCAGTTGCACCTGAACGAGAATCCCAACCCGCAGGTACGTACGGTTAGTACATAAAATCACTAATATTACAACCAGTTGCACAAACGTCCGTTGAAATTGTCATCAGTTTATCGAAATAATAAATATATTATATTCTTTTTATTTTACATTTTTTGTCACGTTATTTTAATAACAGATAATAATCAAAGTCCTCATTTACTTATGAAATATAAATTATATGAAAAAGAAGGAATGTCTGGAAAGAAGGAATGGTGACATCATCATCCTCCTGCCCTTTATCCCACGTTACGTGGGGTCGGCACAACATGTTTTCTTCTTCCATTCTTCTCTATCAGACGTCAGCTCCACATCCACACCTTTCTTATTCATATCCTCTTTCACACAGTCGATCCATCTTTTCTTCGGTCTGCCTCTACTCACATATCCATCCGGTGTCTGGTGACATGTCTGGTGACATATTGTATTTATTTATCACTCAATCATGCACACTGGCTTCTTATATATTTTTCATGAGAATTACAATTTGATTGATTTGACGATCGTATAACAAAGACTATGATCGTGAGATGACCTATAAATTTCAATATGCTCATTGTTAAAAGATAAGTGTGTTTAATCTCTTTATACTACAAAACCGTTTTCATATACGATAGTAGACAATAAGGCGAACGTCTTAACACAGACATATAATACGATACACACACACATGCGAAGTTTACGAAATCTGCCGGGTCTAGGGTATAGGTTTATATCAAATGGGAAATGTTTTATGGGAATTGGAAAAAGTGAAAGTCCCTTAAGGAATTATACATGCAATTTTACATTTACCCGGCGATAATAGAAACGTGTGAGCTACTGTTCTCCAGATATTAATGGTTTACATAAATTAAATTTAATAGCATCGACGAATAGATAAATAGTGTTTTAGTTGCCGTTATATGGAGTACATATCATTATTATATGGCGTTACAAAATATATGCACCTGATAGCATAGCTTCTGTTTACTTTCGATTTGTGTTATTTGCTCGAGAATCAAATAAGATACTTTTTTGTATACTTAGCGAATGCATTGTTTATTATCATTACATTCATCATCATCAGCCTATAGCATAGCAGTAGCAGTATTAGCATAAGTAGCAGTATTAGCATAAGCAGCAGTATAAGCATAAGCAGCAATATTAGCATAAGCAGCAATATTAGCATAAGTTGCAGTATAAGCATAAGCAGCAGTATAAGCATAAGCAGCAGTATAAGCATAAGCAGCAGTGTAAGCACAAGCAGCAGTGTAAGCACAAGCAGCAGTATAATCATAAACAGCAGCATAAGCAGCGTTATTAGCATATACAAAAGTACAAGCATAAGCAGCAGTATTTCTTCTCATTAACCTCATATTAATTTGTAAACATAAACCTCGCTTATCGCTAGAAGTGTGAATATTTGTATGCTATAAACCTTATTTTAATTAATGGCTAGTAGCTAGTGTCAACAATAACACGCCGCAACATCATATGATTGATTATACAATGTATTACGTGCTCTTTAGCATTGATGCCATAGTATTATCCTTACTAAGACTCCGCTATCCGTCCGTCTATCTGTCTGTCACCAGGCTATTACCTCATGAACTGAGACAGACAAGTAGTTGAAATTTTCACAGGTGATTTATCTCTATTGCCGTGCTAACAACAAATACTTAAATAGTATAAAATAAATATTTAAGGAGGGGGGACCCATACAACAGTCCGCCTTGCACTTGGCTAGTTTTTTTTTAATGTATATGTGTTTCTTCTCAATTTTTTGCGAATTATCGAATTGGCTTTGCGATTTTTTTTGTGTCTATTTCATACTCATTTGCTGTATATTTTTAATTGTTTTTTGTGCGCTTCCTTGTGTGGTTTGCTAGCCGATTGTTATGATATTAATAGAAACATAATATTTTTCTTATATATTATTATTTGTTGATATGATTGCATATGCGAATCACTAATACTTATAATGATCTGTTGTGTAAATATTATATTAACTGTTTATTTAAATTATGTTGTGTTAAAATAAAAAATGTCATAACTATGTACATCAGAAATCACACAATCTTTAGACTTTGCGTTTGATTTGAAGCATAAATCGTAGTACATAAAGTTTAAAATAGATTTGAGTGATTTTTGAGATTTGGATAATTTAATATAATAACCGTTGAAGGTATTTTAAGCACAGAAAATATAATAGTACTTATAAGTTTGTATTACGTTAGTGCACGTTAAAAAAAATGAACTGATAATTAATCCTTTGATCAGTGGTGTAACTATACCGTTTGAGGCCCGTGGCAAATTCATCGGATATTATTATTTTTTTACTAATTGCGTAATAAAGAATGTCATGAGGAAGGAGTCTCCTCTGACCGGGGGCCCCTTTCAGCTGGGGGCCCGTGGCATTTTGCCGACTTGCCACCCTGTAGTTACGTGACTGCCCTTGAATGTCGTCCGTCTACCCGTCTGTCTGGTGATTTTCTTCAAAACTACTGAGTCAATGGAGTTGAAATTTAGGAAACATACGTAGATCAGTAATTCAGAAGGGGTTGTCCAACGTAAAAGAATAAATTTTAAACAATTACACTTGGATACATAAAAAAAAAAACACATATTGTATTTATTTTCTAAGTTGATATACAAATATTTAAGGGTACCATTATAAATAAATAAGTACTTCAGTTGTCAAATTATGTTCCAGTTTATCTTTCCTATTTACAACATGTATTGATATTTCATTTGTTTACCAATAGTTTCCTTGATAAAAATCTCATATACGACAGTACGCTATTACGAAAACACCGATATATACTAACAAAAGAAGGTACTTTTGTTAGTATATATTTATAGTTTGTTCTAGATACGAATCAATCAATCGAAAAAAAATCAAAAGATCATAGAAACTTACCACTGGAATTGCATCCCTGATGTTTTGTTATATATTGCATTTTCACAACGATAAGCAGTATAAAAGAGTAATATATTGTGTTTAAAGTGATTATAACGCCAATAAGCGACGGCTCAATGAAACTTGGCGTTCTATGATTGCAATGACGCCCATTAAAAGTCACATCAAAATAAAAGACTTATGTAGGTGCACCAATTAAAGAGTGTAATTTACAAGGTCTGAAAATGATCTTCTTTTGAATACCTCAGGTATGAACTGATCAAAGAAAAAAAGTAATATTAAGGTACTGCATGTTATAAGGTTCAAATAATTAGAGCAAAGCTAATCTGTTTGCAATGTCATACCACACCTAAATATGAGCGCCTTAGGCAGTTGCCTAGTTTGCCTCTATGGACAGGTCGGCCTTGTTGGCAATTTTCAGTGTGTATTCCATACCTCTTATCTCGACTTCAAAATGTCACGCGTTACCAGTATAGATTTTTATTTAAATTGAAAAAGAGTAAAAATGTATAGGTTTTGGTATCCTGACATCAAGTTCCGTCTGTTAAGTCTACGGTTTTAAACCGTGTTTGATGGAAATAAAATTTCCTATTCTGAATATATTTTTTTGTACAGGCATATCAACAACGTGTTCTCCGTCCGCCAGAGGGCGCTTCTTCGCGTATTCATCAACCGCCGTTGCCCACACTCGATCACAGCAAGGTGCGGGATGTACTTAATGAGCTCGCCACCAGACAAACCGCCATAGATAGGTCAGTATATAGATAATAACGTTTTTTAACACTACTACTACCTTCATGAAGGCCTATTATCATTGTACGATTCTGATATTTTCGGGGTAATTATAAAAAGTTTTATTGATTCACATTATTTGAAATGAGTATTTATCATAAGTTTTGTAAATAATTCTGTATTAGAATTGAAATGAAAGATAATATAGGAATATTGAATGAATACGTCATAGTAATCAAAGACAGTGAATTGACTGTTGGTTCTTGTATCATAAATGCAGTTAGAAAGAATAATGTGGATATGTTTGGATCAAACTGAACAATAATCCGTTTGATGACTAACAATATTGATACCATTTGATCGAGCAGCTACTTATTTTATGCAAAATATTACAGTTTTATGTACTTCGTTAAGTAATACATTAAAGTTTCTATGTGAACATGTTGTTGTTCAGTAAAATGTCGATACGCGCACCGCAGCCGCGCATCGTGCCGCCTGCAGCGCCACCCACCGGCGCTGCTGAACTATCGCACGCGCTACTCACTAACTCCGCCAGGCGACTGGAGGTAACATCATCATCGTCATTGTGATCAGTTATGAATATTACACAAAGCAAATATTACAAAAAGTTTATCTTTTGATAATTTTGATAATTAATCACTTCCTAAATAATGACGTATTATTGGATAAACTGACATTCTTTCTAATTGAATAAATTGAAAAATATTCAAATATTAATATACTCACATTATTTTACTCTTTGCTCACTGCTCTGTGAATGATTTGATAATATCAAAAACTGTTTACTACATGTGTCAGTGCTGCAATCTGTCGCTCGAACGTTGCAATGAGACGGCCTATGGATTTAGATGTATCACTAAATAAAATAAATATTATTGAAAAATTAAAATCAACTTCAAAATTGTGCAAAATAATTTAAGTGTCGTGTTAAGGGCGGTTGATATTGACAACCTACACAGTCTCGTCCCCACTTCAATAGAATTTTCATGAACATATAAACCGCATTTACAATAATAAATCTGCAAAATATATTGTGTTTAAATACTTTTTTCGTAAAACAATAACTCTCAGTAAGAAACGATACCGTAACCGTTCGTTATACTGTCTACGTTAGGTGGTACGCGGTTGCGTATCGGCGATATTCGAGTGTCGTTACGCGGACGCGCGTAAATCATTCCCGGCGGTGTTACGCGCGTTACGCGCCCCCGCCGCGCGCGCCGCCCTCACGCGACATCTGGCGGCGCGCCTGCCCACCAATAAGCATCTGCTGCACCATCACCAGTTTGAGCTCGTCGTCAGGTATGTCAATATGTTAGACGAATAGAAAATAAAAATTAAACTCGTATTAAGAAAGACTAACTATTTTTAAGTCAATAAATTAGTGTTTTGGGTCATTAATATTGAAGCTTTTTAAAATAAGTATTTGCCTAATTTTATGTTTGTTATTTGATTGCCTTTTGAAACAAAAAGATGATAAATAGGTTAAAATACTCAAAGATAAGTGCGTTTAGAATAGATATATCGGTAATCAGTATTTAAAAAACCTTCTGGAAACGAAAAATTACAAATTTTATTTGAGATTTAATATTTTCTATTTAAATAAAAAATATTTTCTATTTTAATAAATATTTTCTATTTTAATAAAGCTATTTATTCCATATTTCTTACAGTTTTTATATGTTTTAGTTTGTATTGTTAGTATTATATGAAATATGAACCCCTGTTTGGGTAAAGGCCTCCTCCATCCTCTTCCACGACTCCCTGTCTCTATTGTACAAACATTCCCCAACCCGATTTGTCTTCGTGGGGAATGAGACTGTAACCCTCCACCAAATAAAAAATAGGATAGTGAAAATAAAATAGAAAAATGTGTAAACGACACGTTTCGACAACAAAATATGATCATACTGAACACTCAACCATAACACTAAAAAACTACAAATGAAGTAAAACATAATTTTTATTATATATTTATTTCAAAAATAATTATTTAATTAAAGTATATAACTGCAATTAATAGGATTTTTTTAAATGTGCACATAAAGTGTAACTAATTTTGGTTTACCATATATATGACCTTATCAATTGATAATATTGTTATGTATAATTGTCAAACTATTTCAACTGTATTATATCAACATTTATTTTGATTAATCATCAAATTAACCGCCTCCCGTTGATGATGCCGTTATGACGTCACTTGTCTGCTTTTACAATTTCTTTAAATTCCACTGTGCACAAAATGCACCCAATTTCGACGCCACCATCTATGATATATGCATATGCGTCATATAATCCATACATACCATCTTCTGGCAACTGACTGAAGTCGAAAACAAATTTATTTGTCATCTCGTGTCTGCCCTGAAATGAGTTGTTTCTTTTATTTTGATCTGAACATTGTCTTGACTCATATTTTAATGTTTTTGGTGTTTTAGCATTTTTTTGCTGACTATGCATTTTCTCCAAAATCTGTGATTGTGGTTCAGAATTTTCTTAGGTGCGTTAACATGTTAATGTAACGGTTATGGTGATAAAGGTTCTATTACATTAACCTTTATGACGCGACAGCGCTTATGAGTCTCTGACGTCGAGATTTTATAACAGAATGGAAGAAAACTCTTAATGTCCCGTCTCGAAAATCTATTCTGAATATAGAAGTCTTTGCAATTTGTATATATTAACAGGCAGCGTGTTAATTCGTCTATTGATATTGTTTTTTTTTTTAATAAAGAGTTTTTGTTTGGGACAATAATATAATTATTAACCTATAAGAAGCTTAATATCTGGATTAATATAGAAATTTCAAAGTTGTCACGAGTCTGGGTTGCATTCCTCATTTTGGATTGTCACAACACGAGAGCTTTAGACACTTATGTTTTCCGAATTGCAGTGACTTAAAAATGTATGTATTGGTGATAAATATGAAATGTTTATGTCGTAATACAAAGTTAATAAAATATTATGGTATACATGAAGACTTTGTATTTCCTCTTATGGGATTGCAACATTTTGCGATGTTGCCGATTACAATTATGTTGAATCTAAGGAATCTTATAACCGTAGATTCCATTAGTGATTTAACATTCAAACAAATATTTGGAATTATTTGTTAGGTAATTTTTACTATTTAGTGCCTATGTATCTTTCTTTATGTATTTATGTTACTTTAGTTCATTAAATTATGGCATTTGAAAGGGGCTAGGTATAAAAGAACAAATTCAATTAGGGTTGATTATGTAGTGCTGGAATAACTGAATAAATTCATAGATAGACTACTGATGTAGAAAGGAGAGTGTGTGCCGATCACAGTGTAAATGGAGCATTGTGAAAAATTCCTAGCAGCAAAACCAGTACAACCTTATTATATGGTAAAGAGAGTTGGTTATGTAAGAAAAAGCATGTAAGTAGAAAAAATGCAGCAAAATTTGTGGGGTAACGCTCACGGTCCGCATTCGTAATGAAGAGATAAGAATAATAGTTGACCTGAAAGATAGTGTCACTGTAAAAATAAACATAAATAATATTCGTTGAAGTGGAGGGGCGTAGAAGCAATGATACGCCTTTAACGATCAAATCAGTGCTATTAGAAGGTGATGTCAGATGCCATAAAAATCGGTGAGCATATGTGTAAAAGAGAAATGAAGGTAGAGAAGGCAAAATATGCATGTAAAGATCGTATGGGCACTCAGTTCTCTCTGGCTATACGGCAAGAAGCTAAAGATAGAGTTCATTATAGATGTCACTATATGTAGGCTAAATGAATTAGTAACCATCGGGACTAGCTAGAATAGCTTTTATATGAAATAATATTGTAAATCAATTTGTGGTTCTAAATTCTAAAAAGGAGAAAAAGTACTGCTGCTAATAACTACTATTTTGAACTATAAGAAACAGAATTATTGCTATATAGCAATAAGGCCGCCTTTTGTATACTATTTTTCTCATGCTGTGTAATTTGTCATTTGTCCTGTGTGTGCAACAAAGTATATTATTATTATTATTATTAAAGGGTCTCAGATCATCATCATCATCAGCCGGAAGACGTCCACTGCTGAACATAGGCCTCCCCCTTTGAAGGGTCTCAGATAAAGTTATAAAATGAAGAACTTTATCGGGATCACGTCCCATTTCTCGAATTGATTAAGCGTTTAGACGTACGTGTGTTTTAGTTAAGTAAGAATCGAGTTGGTTTTGTTTAATACCGTAAATAAAGCTTACTTACTTGGGAAATGGGACATATGGAACTGGCACCGGTGTGGCCACAATTTTCGAGTAACCCCTCCATATTTTTCTTGCCGCCGTACTCCTCTATGAAATGGCACGCACTAGCCTCATTTAGCACGTAGAATTGTTTGCTTCCACCGTCGGTTTGTTTATAAATGACTACTTTTAACTAAAAATATAAATGTATTTTATATACAATGTACTGGTTTAGCTAACTAGTATAGCCAAATATGGTGTAAAAACTATAAGCTTTAATTATATTTATCTATATTAATTTTATGTATTACTAGCTTTTGCCCGCGACTTTGTCCGCGTGGTGAAGTTACTTTGAGTAGCATTTCTAACGAATATTTATTCATTATATCGTATAAAATACCTGAAATAAAGTTTCATCCCCTATTTTATACCCTTAGTCATGGAATTCATCAAAATCCTTTCTTAGGAGATGCCTACGTCATAGTAGCTTTATGCATGCGGAATCTCAGCCCGATCGTTTTCAAATTGACAGTTTCATACAAACTTTCATCCCCTATTTTATCCCCTTGGGGGTAGAAATGATCAAAATCCTTTCTTAGAGGATGCTTAAGTCATAGTCGCTTTATACATGCAAAGTCTCAGCCCGATCAGTTTAAAATTGACAAAGTTTCACCCCCTATTTTATCCCTTTGGCGGTAGAACTGATCAAAATCCTTTTTTAGCGGATGCCTACGTCATAAGATCTACCTGCATGCCAAATTTCAACCCGATCCGTCCAGTGGTTTGAGCTGTGCGTTGATAGATCACTATGTCAGTCAGTCACCTTTGAGTTATATATATATATATAATACTTTTATAAATTCGTACTTATAAAATGTAATAGTAAATGCTTATCTTTTGTCATTTTGTTAAATTTTAGCACGTAGAGGGGGCCACTGAGGAAAACTCATAAAAATCTGACTACATATATAACTAAATCTAAATGTTGCTTGTTATGTGTGTAAACAATTATATATAATACTTAGATGAGCTACCTGAGTTCAATAACAACAAAATAGTAAGGCATTGCTCGAGTTTCATTTAGTCACGTTTGTCAAAATGTATGTTTATCTCGTTGTAACAAAAGGTATACCGTATGATTCTATTACTTCTTTCTCTTTCTTCGCGCGCAGTTTTATCGTACTGAATGTGCTTGTATGTTTACGCCGTTTTGAATTGCAGTAATAGTCTTATGTGAAACGTTTGATTATAATATATCAATGATTCTATAGGATAAAATAAAAAAAAAAATTATTATGAAATTTGTATCTGTTGTCACATAAACTTCATATATGTGGTAACATTGCAGTGGAACAATAGGGATGATGACAAATTTTTGTGTTGTCTGTACGTCAAGTAGATTTATTTAAGAATGTGTGATATCCGTATTTTTTTTTGCATTATTATTAAATTACATTTAGTTAAAATGTTGTGTGACATGACCTTATTGACCACCATAGCTGTGACGTAGCGGGCTACTCAACTTTACCTTTATCTAAGCTATTTCTAATTAAATTGAAGTTAAAAATACGTATTCAATATTTTCTATTCTTTGAGTGACGGACTAAAAACGATAATTATTACTTTTTCCAATAATAATAAAAATCGTTTTTATACCCAGGTATTATCCCTATTGACGGTCTTATCGGTAAAAGAGATATGTTCCAAAGATCTGCGGTGTGAGTAACGGTATCTACTTACGGGCATATTCTCAGTTAATGGCCTGTCAAGTTCCATGACGCCCGTGAATCCGTCGTTTGTGCGGTTTACCTTTGCCTTGTTGACCTCCAGTTTTATAGGATAGTTTTCGTGGTTTGGACAAGTCGTGATGTGCTTCAATATGTACATGCCCTGAAAACATCGTATATTACTATTTAGGTACACTTAGAACGTCATTATTTGATTACCATAGTTTATTATGATTTATTTGATGATTATCGTCATATTTTGACAAACAGCTGATTTACTGCTGCTTGTCAAAATAAAGTGTAGCTTTTGACTCTTTCGTAATAAATAAATATTAGATAACATCACATACATTACTCATATCCCAAATTAAGTATGGCAATCTGAAATAACGAAGATAATTCAACACCCAGACCCTAGACAATATGGACAAGTTTATTTTCTACATTGAAAAGTAGGAACCTATATCAAAACTTATGTTTTATTTCCCCTTGATGCGGTGCGGTGTTATACACATAATTTTGTATGCTTCGCGGCCTTGTACCACTTCTCCTTGAGATATGGGTCGAAACAATCGTACCCATAACTATTATTCAAAGAGACAATCAGAAGTACTCATTTATGCTACAGAGATAGAACCGACTGATTTTGGTACTAACTTTACATATAGAGTAAGTGTATAGTATATTTTTTTAAGATATTTGAAACAAATTTTCATATTAATATACAATTTTTCATATGTCGAATTGTAATATAATCAATCCTTTATGTGTATGTCCTTAATCTGTGTATAAAATACTTTGCATTGATTATATTGTTGCAATCGCAATAGTAAGAATAGCTCGATGGCGTAGTGGATAAGCGCCGTGGCCCGCCTTCGTTGTCGTTAAGCAACTTTTGCAAGGGTCGGTCACGGGATGGGTGACCGAAAAAAATATTATCTCGAGCTACTCCGTGCTTTGGAAGGCACTTTAAGCCGTTGGTCCCGGCTGCATTTGCAGTCGTTAATACCCTCCAATCCGCAATGGGCCAGCGTGGAGGGTCATGGCCCATCTTCCTAACCATCCATCTGGAAGGCCTGAGCTCCTGCAGTTTCCTTATAATAATAATTTAAAATATTTAATATACTCACTTTATCAGTTTCGGTTTCACCAGCGAAAACTGTATTTGGATAAAATATTATTAATACTGCGATCCACACACATGTAGTTATAATTAATGATTTTAACATTTTGCTAAAGCTATTGAAGATTTCAACAACTTGCTTGTAACTTTATTGGATGGAGATCCAAATTAAGTTGATCAGAAGTGTGAAGTTCCGTATAAATAGTGGATGTGCAATGAATTATTAAGATCTCTGATAAAAATAAAATGACTATTGTCGACATTAAAATAGACGAAGAGCTAGTGTGCTCATTGATAAAACTATCATTTAATGTAAGCTCAAATGATATTAGTGTTACCATCGTTAATATCTGGAGCTTGGCGACTGTTTCTGACTTCCATAAAACACGTTTAGCTACTTAACTCGGGATCTGGGCATCGGCGTAGAAGATAGGCCGTAAAAAATATTTTTTGAAATTCCTTAGTGAATATATTGTCAACGATTTCAATATAAGATAAAACTTACACCCAAACCAATTAACTGGCTCGAAATTAGTGTAAATGTAACATGTTATTCACATGCTCTGCTCCCTACCTCCCATAAAATATCTCTAATGCGGCCATGAATTTAAGCAATCCATTAAACGTATGTGTGTTATTACCCAGCAAGGGATCTGGTGTGAAGACATATGTAGAAGCTGACATAATATTTTAAATAATGCAACTATCGATTTGACTTACTCTAGGTTTCAAAACATATAAATTAGAGTACTAGTCCCATCTATTGACAGTCAAAACGAATAAAATTGATAAACTAATATTTGAGGGGGTAGATTTGTTTACGTACTGTATATAGTTAACTATGTATATGTGGAATAATTAAGTGTAATAATCAGATCATAAACCATGATTAGTTTCACCACGCTCTTGGTCTATTACGTGTTAGCAATGCCTTTTTAATTATAGTTATAGCTAAATGATTGTAGCTAAAGCACCTCTGAACTATGTTTATTGTATTGCATTACATTGTGTTTTATATAAATTTATTATATTATTTTATAAGTAAACTAGCTGTTTTCCAGCGGTTTCGCTCGCGTAAATTATAGCCTAGTAGCTTTCGCCAGCGGCTTCGCCCGCGTGTACCCTAGGGCAATGTTTAGTGGGATAAAAAGTATCCTATTATTCAAGTCAGCTAATACCCTATCTGTATACCAAATTTCATCAAAATCCGTTCAGTAGTTTCGGCGTGATCGACCGACAAACATCTAAATATCCAAACAAAGAAACTTTCACATTTATAATATTAATAGGATCGGATCTCTATTTTCGAAGATAAACCCCCTACAACCTAATAAAGTTAGAAACTACCTTTTTATATTATTATTATAGACTATTCTTTCCTGAGATTATTTTATGTTTGTGCTGTGGGTATTAAATTTATTTTAAATATATTTCATATATTCTTTAAATTAAGAGGTTTTTATATAAATGTTGCGTAAATCACAGCTACTTGACACATTTAAATGATTTTGGATATGTTGTATATTAAAGTGGAAATAAAACTTAGTTCATAATAGCATAGGAGAGAGTTCTATACAAATATGGAATTTAAAAAATATGGAGTTCTTTTAGGTGTATATCTTTTAGATGATTCCTAAGATGTATCTGTTATTTTTGTATCTATATACATAGCACTATTTTATCTGTAATGTTTTTATAATTTTAAGGTCAGTAGTTTAAAGGACCCGGTTTGATGAGGGATGTAAGTTAATAACTAACCGGTATAATTTGTAAAAACTAAAAAAAAATATGTTATGTAAACTTTGATAAAGTTCTGTTCCTCCAAATACAAATTCCTTTTGTTCCTTTTTTTTCTTTCAAATATCTTGTTATTATCATGTATTGGGTCAACCAATGATATTTCGTTTTTTTCATTTAACATCATCAGATCATCAGATTTAACATCGACAATTAAATTTTTTAATCAACATGGAGTTCTAGGCTGTATTTATAACAGAATATTACTACAGATTTTTCTGTTCTGGTTCTAATGATTCTAGCACATCCTTTATGGTAATTATTGAGGCCTACAACTACGAAAAGATTTCCGATTTTCCTTCTTCGGTACAAAAATTATAGATTACATCATGTATACTCAAATTACTTCTGAAGTTCTTTCACTATAGAAATCTCAAACAACGGAGATACTACAAACACCCAGACCCGAAACAATATGGGAAATATAATTTAATGTATTTAAAAAGAGATTGTGACTCCTCGTCATCTTGGAACCGGCGTTTATTATTTTTACGATATTTGTGTATATATGATTATGTTTCAGATTGATGAACTGCGCATTACAATCGACCACAGCTTTAGATGAACATTCCATAGCGGCGGCCATGTTGCCTTTGGCTACCGCGTACTGTAGGAAACTGTGCACAGGCGTTATTCAGTACGCCTACATGTGTATACAGGTTGGTTCATTGGTATATCTATATAAATAAAACATTATCTCTAAAACTCTGAAAGCCACTGAACTTGTTTTTTTTATTTTGTGTTGTGGTTGATGAAATTTGAGAAGATAAAACCTTTCTTATGGAGAAATATGGTAAAAAATATAAGGAAAATTAAAAAAACATCAATTTTCTTTTTCAATTTTCTCCAGCTGTCAAACATTTGACGTCAATCAAAGTAAAACAAAGACTTTGGTATACCTTCTTTTGGTATATAGTAAGGTCTTTGGTATACCTTCAAGTTGATTAGAAGTTGCACGTGACAGAACATGGTCTGTGGGACTGCTAGTATATATTTAAAAGGTTTTTTTACTTGGTAGCTATAATGCGCGGCACGTAAGTTGAACCGAAATGGCGGCAATAGCTCATTTTCGAGACGCGGAGGTGAGACGCACAGAGTAACCATAGAAACGCAGTATACCGGAGACTGGAACTTGGCTAGAAATCGCCATTTGGTTAGACTTACGTGTCGCAAATTATATCGGTAATATTTACTACATTTTTTTAAGGTAAAGTTCAAATATCTTTAATTCTTTAATGAATAACTGACATTAATATAATTTCTAAAGCGATAAGTGTCTCAGATTTTAACCTTCTAATAATTATTACGGTTAATTGAAAGATATCTCGATGTGTATGTTTATCTATTATTTAGTTTTATTAGACTTCTTCTCGATACGTGTACTTTAACGATTTCTAATGGATATGATAACGTTTATGAAAGCTTTTACTTTTAATATCTGTATCCTGCATTTACTTGTGGTCGCTGGTAGGAAATAATTAACTGGTGGCTTATAAATGCCTATGCTAAAATATCTCCACAATGATGTCTAGGAGCACCAGGTGTGGACAAGTCAGCAGTTCTGGGAAGCGGCATTCTATCAGGACGTGCAGAGGGACATCAAGGCACTGTACTTGCCCAGCCCTACGCAACACCAGAGGGTGTCTAGTCCGAGGTAATTATTTAGTAATATACTGATGCAAAAATATGCAACTTCTATTTTAATTATCGATTCATTACTTCATTTTAATTTTTTCTTATGCATCGGTAAAAAAATTGTAGATTAATTTAAAAATGCATTATTTATTAAAATTATTAATTTTCTACCGCGATAGCACAGTGTGGATTGGAGACTATTAACGACTGCCAATAAATTTAAAAAAATGCTATTTTGGCCACCCGTGCTAATGACATTCTTAAGTTGATTTGTACTTAATGAAAAATTCTTAAGAAATCCACCAGTCCTAGTTGCTCTGAGATGGGACGGGAACCCGCGACCTTTCGCAATTCGGGCGACTGCTCTAACCACTGAGTTACCCAGGACCTAACAGGACTGACAAATTTTTCAAACACTTGTTACTTTTTCGCTATTACAAAGCGTTTGTTCAGACGATTCACCTAAACAGACGAAAAAAATATTTTTACAAATAATTTAAATCTTTCAATTAAGATGAAAATTTGTTCTAATTATTGTTTGATAAATTTTGCATTCTCTCATGTTATACTGTAAAATATTCTTAATAAAGTTTTTTTTTTAATGTCTCAAAAAAACTAATAAACAATCGTTTTGTTTCTAGGGAGGATGAGGAGTATATTTCACTATTAAAAGCTCAAGAGCCGAGCGCATTAGAGATCGCTGCAGAACAAATGAGACTCTGGCCGGGTGTACTACCAGGTAATCAATTTATAATCTGTGTTACTGCTTCTATACTAGAATCATAGTAAAGGATATCAATTATAATTATAAATATGTATCCGGAACGACTGATCTTTATTCAGGAATTAGAATCACTAAATAAGAAAGACATAACCCATCACGCAGGCTCAGCGCGGATTGCTACGTGCTAATTAATGTAATTGGGACTAACAAAATATCTTCAAAAGCACGGATATATTTAGATTAATAAATATTCGGTCACCCTTCCGATTACGGGCCTATGCAAAGGTAGTAACAAATCGCGAGAGATGAGCTAACCACTTTACGATCGCGCTCCTTCACTGATTACTCATTTTTAAATTAACTCAAATCTATATTAAAACCTGAAATAAAAATATAAAAAACCCAATCCTAATGCCACTTGTTAATTTATTTCATAATTTGCGTGTTGTTTCTTACAGAAAAACAAAAAGAGTTGATAGCGAGCGAGGAATCGACGTTGTACAGCCAAGCCATCCATTACGCGAATAGGATGGTTTACCTGTTACTGCCACTAGAGGGCGCCGGAAGGCGTGCCGACGTGAGAGGTGACGACGCCGACAGAGCCAGTAACAGTATTACTAATAGGTATGCGTTTTGCTGGTTAACAACTTGGAAAACTTATTTCATCTTAAATGTTTGTAAATTTGTGTAGTTGGCTATTTGCAAGTTTTAAACAATAAAATATTAATTATGTTGGAAATGGTAACATTCAACAATAATTATGTAATTGATTTTGTTAAAAAATGAAAAATTATCTTTCGATTTATATATTATCTATGGATTACAAGAATCGAGGCACACGCGACCTTTGTTGCGAGTGCTACCTGTGCGGGACAATTTAAATTATACTTTTCCCAAAACCAATTTTATCGCTCGGAATGTTATTTTATGTATTATTTTCAGGTTGCTAGAGTCTACTTTAGAGTTTCTTAATTTATTTTAGCAAATGATTGAATTTATTATTAATTGTTTGTGCAGCGTAGCCGAATCAGACAGTGCCGACGCTGAGTCTGGCTTCGAAGAAGCTGACCCGGGCGAGGCGGGAAATAATGTTATCAAGATGGTGTCGAGATTTGTGGATAAAGTACGTAGGCGGGATGATAAATAGTATACCCATATTTTGTATAATAACGATATAAAATCTCCTTAGTATTTTACTCATTGGTTCAATAGATGCCAGTGTACCAAATTTCAAATCGATCGTATAGTTTTTCTTTTAAATATTGACATTCCAAAAAGCATTCTTTTGTTTTTTCTACAAAATGGATGAAATTGAGTTACGAGCTGTGATAAAGTTTTTGCATTTAAAAGGATTAAAAGGTGGAGAGATTTTTTCGGAGATAATAATATAATAATAATAATAATAAAAAGTTTATTCACTTAAGCAGTACACTGACAAAAAAACAATTTTTTTATTCCGCCAAACTGCTTAACAGTTTATTGGCAGACCGAGCTCCCTTTATTACATATAACACTGTACTTCTCATATAAACTATCTGTCACAATTTTGTATCAGATAATTGAAATCAGAACATCTTAAAAATAGACATCAGAACATCTTAAAAATAGAAATCAAAACATCTTAAGTGGCATGCACAATTGATCAACCACTAAATATCATAGTTTTCTAATTAACATCTGTTGGATTCAACCACACACCACTATAGGGAGGTAAATTATTTTAACATTGCTTTAATTAAACACTAATTTAGTGTAATGTGATCAATTTTATATATTCTCATTGAATGTGATCTAATAAGTAGGCAATCTTCACACATCTCCTCTTTACTTATATTATAATGAATTAAATTGTGCAAAATTACACTTCTTGTTATTGTAAAATATTTTTCTCAAAATTTTTAAGTAAATATTTTTCTATTTTAAGTTTGGCAGACTTTTTTGTTATACAATAATCAAATAAATTCCGAGGCAATTCGTTATAAATTCTAGGAACAATATATTTATTACTTCTTTTACCGTAATAGTTGTTATATTTTGGAACTACAAATCGTTTCCTTTTTCTTCTATTATATCTATAATTTGTTCTGTAGGTCATCACAGGTTTCTTAAACTTATCATTATTGAAATTATCCAGAGCTATCAACAATGACACTCTCTCATGGACCGGCAGTATATTACATACTATGAATAATTTTTCATAGTTACTAAGTTTACATAAATCTTTTGTATTTTTATTAACTATTCTTTTTAAGAAACGGATTTGTAATGATTTGATTTTATTTAAATAAGTTTTAAAAGTACGACCATATGTCTCCAATCCATATGAGAGTAGCGAGTCAACTAGCGCATAATATACCATATACATAGTTGCTTTGTCCAATATAAAGCTAAGATGATGGAATCTCACAAGTACCGACCTCATCTTGTCACTTAGGTGTGTTATATGGGTTTTCCATGAGAAATAACAGTCAATGGTCAAGCCCAAATACCTGTAATCCTCCACCACCTCGATATCAGCACAAATACAATTCAATAGGCCACTATGCAAACATTTATAGGTATGCCCAGTTATGCGAGGTGAGCGATTGACATTTTTTAAGTAAGGAGATCTGATGTGCATACATTTTGTTTTATTAATATTTATTACTATCCCGTTATCGTGAGCCCATTTTATTACATTTATCAGATCCTTCTGAATTTTATTTTCTATTATATTTAGGTCTTTATCCCCATAGACTAGGCAGGTATCATCCGCATACATATATATTCGACAGTCACGTACTACGTTGCACATACTATTTACATGCATTATGTATCCGACTGGACCGAACACAGAACCGGTTGGCACGCCACGCCACTCACCACCCACAACAGTTCGCAGTTTTCTATTGGTAAGATAAGCACGGAACCAACTGTTTATTGGCCCATCAATACCACATTCTTTCATTGCCTGGAGCAGCTGATGGTGGTCCAGCGTATCAAATGCTTTTTTAAAGTCAATATAGATTACCACCACCTGCTCCCGCCCATCCAAACACTCATTTACATAATCTGCAAACTGTGCCAACGCCGTTCCCGTGCTACGCCCCCGCCGGAAACCATGCTGTGCGTTATTTAAGATATTGTGTTTCTCCAAAAAAGTACTTATCTGTCCAACTATAAATTTCTCTACTATCTTATTTATTACTGACAAAATAGCTATTGGTCTGTAATTTGTATAATCGCTATGTGAACCCTGCTTATATATAGGTCTTATCAATGCAATTTTTAACTTCTCGGGATATAAGCTTTTTTCTACTGATAAATTAATGATGAAGGATGTTTTGGGAGAAAATGCTCCTTCATATGCGACCATAAAAAATTGGGTGGCTGAATTTAAGCGTCGCCGTGCCAGCACCCAAGATGAACATCGTCCAGGACGTCCAAAAAGTGCCACTACTCCAGAAATTGTGATCAAAATTTATGATGCAGTTTTAGCTGACCGATGATTGAAACTTTCCGAGATAGCTGATACTGTAGGCATCTCTAAAGAACGGCCGCATTACATTTTGACTCAAGAATTATGTATGAAAAAATTATACGCATGGTGGGTGCCGCGATTGCTTACAGTTGACCAAAAACGCGTTCGTATGCAAATTTCACAAAAATTTTTGGACCTCTTTAAGAGAAATACAACTGATTTTCTGCGACGGTTTGTTACCACAGACGAGACTTGGGTTCACCACTATATACCTGAATCAAAAATTCAGTCTAAACAATTGACGGAAAAAGGATCCCCGGCTCCAAAGAAAGCAAAAGCCGTGAAATCAGCGGGGAAAGTCATGGCGTCAGTATCTTGGGATTCGAAGGGTATATTGATGATTGATTACCTTCCAAAAGGACAAAACATAAATGGCGAATATTATGCTGATCTACTGGATAAATTACAAGTGTGTATTGGTGAAAAATGACCCGGCCTGACAGACAAAAAAATCACGACAGTAAGACAAATAAAATAATCGTGCCATTTTAAGACTCGAAATCAGTATCTATGTTTATTACGATGTAAATTTTAGTTTTATTTTTTGGGGAATTTTTTGATTTATTTTTCACTACCGAAACTAACCTAATTGAATGTTCGGTGAACAGGTTTGCACCGAGGGTGGCGTGACGGCGGAGCACGTGCGTTGTCTCCACCAGATGGTGCCGGGCGTGGTGCACATGCACATGGAGACGTTGGACGCCGTGGCCAGGGAGAGCAGGCGGCTACCGCCAGTTCAGAAGGTATTACTAATAACTAGTGGTCGCCCACTGGTCGAAATTCGACCATAATAAATTTCAATTTGAAGTTATTTAACACAATTTATTAATTTACCCCGACCCGATAATGTTCTACGTCGAGGCATAATTAATTCTTTCATGAAATTACTGAAATCAAGTTATCGATTTAATGTACTTATAAGCATTATTATTGAAAAATATTAGCCGTTTGCACTTCTCCTACATATAAACTATAAGTGTGCCAAATTTCATACTCTACCGTCCTTGCAATTTTTGTAAAAAGGGGTCCAAAGATTTTGCTTAATCTATTAATATATAGATAATACGGACTGACGGCTTCTTGTTGTCAGTGGCAGACGGCGGCAAAAGGCAGAAATCAGAAACTCAGTCCTCCTTGTTATACTAGTAGATGACGCCGAGTGCGGAAGAAATAATATGAAAAACAATTATTAACAGTTTATTGTGAATTTATTATTTTTTGTAATGGGTAAACTTAGAAACGACTATAGACTATAGAAAAAAGAAAAACACAGAAGTGCAAATAATAAATATATTTTGTAGATAATAAAAAATATATACGATTATAATAGTTTTATTCCAAATAATATTAGGTAGTTTGAAAAAGCGTATAGATCGATTTTAAAATTTCCTTCACCTACGGGAAGCCGCGTTATACGCGGGTCGCGAGAAAACAGCTAGTCCAAAATAATTTCGTAACTTGTGTTAAGTATTAATGTAAATCCAAGATGGCCACATCCATTAAATAGCGAATCACATTCGTTTATAGTCTCCTCGATATGAGTATCTTTTGAACAGATTTAATTATGGACACAATATCACAGTCAGTTGCGCCGCGTCGGTTAGGAATTACACATTTTATTGAACGTGTATTTAGATGTTTTTGTTATTTTAATAGTTTTTCTGTATGCGCTGTGTGAACGCATAAAACTGATATATTATTAACGCACATTCATAAAAATAGTTTGTTTAAAGGCAGACACTGATTCGATTTCAACCATTTCTAATATAGGTTTTTTTTTTGCTAAATTTAATTTTGTGATATTAAACTATGGTCACCTGTTATGGGTGTCAATGTAAAAAATACTTTTTAAATTCACTACGTACTTTGCTTAATAACATTATAGGTCAAATTAACAAAGAAAAATGACCTTTCTTTTAATGTGACTTGAGTGTGAAATATTCTTGAACGTTATGATGCACACAGACTAGACATGGATGTTTCTAACTTTCATAAGACACATGTGCGAGTTGGTGCACAAATTCATGAACCAAAGAGTAAAATAAAATTCATAAACAAAGAGTTAGATTGTCTAAAATATAAACAAAATATTAAAGAGTTTTGTATTTATTTTTTATTTACATTTAAACTATTTAGATTGACAAGTTTTTGTTATTTTTAATTGCAGCCGCGTATCGTAGCCCCGGCGTTAGTAGCGGGTGAAACGCTAGCGGGTCCAGCGCTGCGAGCGTTTTTAGTTCCCGACGGACGTACAGCTCCTCTCTTACCAGCGGAGGGCGCTCTATTCCTCACTAATTACAGACTAGTATTCAAGGGAACACCCACCGATCCTTTCGGTGAGTAAGAGAATTTTATTTAACCTGTAACATTTATTGATTCTTAATGAAATACTTAGTTGCGATGCGTGCTTTAAAAAACTTATGAAATATTAAAATAATTGAATTATTATCACAAAAGTGTATGTACAGTTTTTATATTAGCAACCAATGTAGTGACTAGAGCCTCAAATATTTTTGGTATTAGATAAAAACATGTTTCGCGTGTTTGAAGACATATACTTTTTGAAACTTTGAAGTTTATGAAACAAACGCAGGGTTTTGTTACATTTTTTTTACTTTACTGCGTTTTATTGTCATCAGCGTGTGAGCAAACGGTTGTACGTTCGTTCCCTGTGTGCTCTTTGACCCGCGAGAAGGCGGTGAGGACTCATTATCTCCCACACCTGGAGCAGTCGCTTCAGGAGGGGTTGCAGCTGCGCTCTGCCACCTTCCAGCTGATTAAGGTCAGTGGAGGTTTTAATAAATGTTTTATGATGCCTCTAATGCACAGATGATTCCCGATATGATATTAAAATTATAAGAACGATTGGAAATTAACCGCATTCTCGTTCAAGGAAAAATAGGCCCTCGTGTGTCGTGTTAACTCGTACGAATTATAACTGGTATGTTGACTTGAGTAGAGTAATAACGTCGTACTATGACACCAGGTGGCGCTGGACGAGGAGGTGAGCGGCGAGCAGGCCGAGGCGTTCAGGAAGCAGCTGTCTCGTCTGCGGCACCCCCCGCACCCTCTTATGCACTTCGCGCTCGCCCCCCGCGCGCCACCACCCCCACAACACCATCCCCCCAAACACCACACACTCAAGTAAACATACATTACAGTAACAAATACTAGAATTTTACAAGGCGATATTATTATATTGTAGTGTCCTATTTTTATTTTATTTATAATGGCACAGTAGTTTGTTACTGTTCAGACAAAAAGAATTCTTATATAAATACACTTAAATTTTTAAAGCATGTCTATACAAGTATTGGATTAAAATTAACAGAACAACACAAAAGATGAGTGTTCTTTCGTGCCGATTATATCAAATACTAAATTTACAAAAACAGAACGTAAGATCTATTAAAGATCTTTTTATGTCATAATTTTACTATACAGTGTTCTGCATTATGTGGAATGACATAAATTTTGTTTCACAGAAACTCATTTGGTTTACACTTATATAGCATACATTCAAAATTGTGTTTTAAGTCAGAATCACCTTTAGGCTTATAATTCATACAATTTGAAAGATACTCGTCGGCTGCTACTGCGGCACGCTCGTTTCGTTCGCTTTTTGTTTTGGTCAAAGTTCTAAGCTAACCTCTACTGTATGTTGAAAATATGTAAAATTTATTTTATTGTTGCTTAGATTGGTGATTGACTTAGTTGTTACTACTTCATTGTGAATCAAAATCAAACTCGTGATGCTCTTTTTATTATGTGACCACATATTAAAAGCTAATGTACTTTAATCTGTAAGCGGTCTCGTAAGCTTGTATAACGTTCGGTTTGAAGGGGCTTCGCGAAGAAGACCTTGCTAAAAACTGCGAGGAAAGCGGGGTTGAAGCCGAAACCGTCCAAACGGCAAAAGTACGTGTTGCCGTCAGCGGACGCACGTTCACTCACGTCGCCTCCGCTAATGTCATCACTATCTGCGGACACGCTATCTTGTGAGTAATTATAATTTTCGTACCAGTATTAGACCAGATAATGTACGTTTAGATCTTAAAACCATGTGTATTGTTACGTTGAGAATATAGGCTTTTTAAAAAAAATATTATTATTATTTAAACTTAAATCTGTAATGAATTATTAGTTCGTGAATGCTACTGTCCGAATCGGTGAAATGTGGCACAATGACTCGCGAGAGGCAGTCGCCAATGCATGAAGGTCTGAAAATGTTGTGTCAGCTGGAAATCGTTGGCACAGCAATTACAGGGACATTTTGTAGATGTAAAAGTACGTACATTTAAACGTTTACCGAGAGCAACTTCGCCAGTGTGGTCCCTGGGAATCCGTTTAGTAGAATAAAAAGTAGCCCATATATTTATTCAGGCTTAGAATTATCTGTATACTATTTTTTTCAAAACCCTCTTCAATAGATTTGCGTGATATAATAATACATATATATCCATCCTTGCAAATTTTTCCATTTATAATATTAGTAGATTTTATCAACGAATTGTCAACCTTATTTAACTACAAACGGGTTAATGTATTAGCCACAGTTGCATTTTTTTCGTCCCTTGGTCTCTACAAATCAGTATCCTAGTTTACATTCATAGTAATACATTTTAGCTTGCTAAGTCGCAGACAATATTGCTGAACATTCTTTGCGAATTGTTATCTCAAAACGCAACTATATATTTTGTTAAATTAAAATTCTGTTATAAGGAACACTTTAAGTTTTATATTTAGTCTGCATATGTATTTGCACTTTATAAGCTGACGAAGTGATTATAATGCGATAAATCGATTAATTTGTGTAAATGTTATTATTATCTATAGTTCACACGCAATATGGTATGAAATTGTAACAAATTCCATTCAAGGATGATTTTAAGAATGCGGTAATTTAAACATTTTCAATTATATATTTTTTCGATTTATACACTCTGTACAGAAAATATCTTTATTTGCTGAGAAATAAGATTTAAAAGAAGTCCAAATGAATGGCGAACATGGTGTGTTTTTAAGTAGATCCAGTGTTTACTTAGGTTATTATGTTGATATAAAATTATCTACTTTATCGTCTTGTATTTTATCATCATCAGCACTTGTTAGGGCCGGGTTAGCCACATGACAACGGGAGTCTCGCTATGGTTCAGAGTCAATAAATTATTTTTTTAAGTCAATGTTAAAAAATGCTAGAAATAAAATAAGCCACGCTTCTCAGTAAAGTCATATTTTTAAGTATGAACATAAACTGTCAAATAAATCTCAAGTCACAGATTAGTTGTGTTGTGTTATTCGGAAAGGAAAAGGATTCGGTACTGGCCTCTTTATGTCCCCACTGCAGGTGACCAAGCTTTCAGTAAATAGTGTTTGTCTATCTACATGTGTTTATTGTAAAAAAAAATGTATGTTTTATACGTGTTTTCATAGTGGAAGAATTAGAGTTGGCTAGTGAATCCGGTGAGCCGACAGCGGGACGTACATTGGAGAGATTACGTGAACGCGCGTACGCACGCGAATGGGCGAGATTGGGACTGGCAGCCACACCTTACAGATTATCGCATGCAAACGCACTGTACACACTGTGCAGGAGGTAATTGGACTTGCTGTTTTTTTAGGCTACTTGTAAAAATATAGTCACACATTAAGTTGTACTGAAATGACAAATTATTTTAAGCCTCAATGCATTAAAATTAGAGCTCAAAATTGAATGTGGAAATTTTGAAATGTGGGATAACCCGATGCTGTGTGCGTTTTAATGTTCTACCAAAGTCTTTATGGTTCTTACAATCAGCCAACAGGCTCGTCTCGAAATAATAATTACGTAGGGGTACGGTAAAAGTGAGATGTGAGACTTGTATTTTCTCTTTCTTTATATTTCTGATATTTTAATATGCGTCTTACCATTGAGCAAATGCGTATTAGATTGATGAAATAATAATAAAAAAATGTGAAAACTTTGCATCAACATCGTGCAGTAAAGATTGCAATATTATTTTAGCATTATATTATATCAAATTTCTATCTACAAGAAGGTGCAGTTAAAAATGCAGAATTTCTTTAACACATTATCAAAGTGTGCGTTGTTTTGTTGTACAGTTATCCAGCTGTTATTCCGGTGCCGGAGAGTGTGGGCGACGAATCTCTACGTAGGATATCTCGATGCTACCGTCAGGGACGGCTGCCAGTACTCACTTGGCGGCATCCACGTACACACGCACTTCTAGCCAGGTAAACTTATCTCGGCACATGATATCGACATTAAATTTTAAAAATTTTTATTATGATGAGTTTTAATCCAATTAACAAGCATTATTTTGTATCTCTTTAAAAATTAGTCTTCACACGTTAATTACTGCATTTTTATTAAAGCAGAGTAATATATTCACCTGTTATGCAATACCATATTGTCTTTTTTTGGTAAATAAAGTTTTTTTTTTAATTATTATTATTAATTACCCACTGTTTACAGTGCAGTGCATCTGGCAATATTGATTTCAAACAATACCTCAACGATCTATCATCAGTTTCGAATTTTGCCACGTGCCAAAAATCTTTGTAGCGTTGTATAACTGATTGATTATTATTAGTAATGATTATCGGCAACCGTATTTATATTGTGGGTGTTATCCCATCAGATCGGCAGCTTCTCATCATAAGGGCGTAATGGGAATGTTGAAGGCGACACATCCGACCCCCACCACGAATCAGGGCGGCACTGAGACCACGTCCAGTCTGGAACAGGTATACAGGATTTTCTTTCGATAATGCGTTTGAAAAAAGAAGGATTTTTTTCGATAATGCGTTTGAAAATTGTCATAATGATATATCGTTTTTATTTTTCATCAGCTTCAGTCTGTTTACGTGCCCATTGTATGGGCTAAATCCATCCACGCTGGCCCAATGTGGATTAGAGGATTTTAACGGCTATAAATGCAACCGGGACCAACGATTTGACGTGTCTACTGAAGCACGGAGTAGCTCGTGATAATTTTATTTTTTGGCTCCCTTGCGAAAGTTGCTTAACAATAACGGTCGTCTACTACGCCAGCGAGCTTTTTTCGTAGATAGAAGGAAAGCTATAAAATGTCATAAAATAATTTTAAAAATTCTTAGTTGTTTCTCTTGTGCCCACGCAGTCGAAGTCGTAACAGTAACAATTTTTATAAACTTACAGGTAGTTGCATAAACGTCCATTAAAATTGTTAATGGTTTAAAGCGACATTACCCATACAAATCTGACATTCATTAGAGCTTAAAGGCGTCATTAAACCTTAATCGATGTTTGTACAACTGTAATGGCCAATAGAGCTAACTATCCTTTCTTAAATTATAATAATATTTGTTTAGGAGCGGTACTTGGCGACGTTAGTGGCTTGTACTCCGTCTCGGTCTGAACTAGCGGATTCAAGTCTCAGCTTAGACTCGTTGTTGTTGGGATGTGACGACGCACCAGCTCACACTCCACTCCTCACCAAAGCTGCGGGCACTCTAGGGTCTCTATATACTTTTTTATATTTCACAAATATGATAAATCTCAATACATTTATTTATCATGATCTAAGGGTTATCCCTAATACAATTATGTCAAGTATGAAACATTTAAGACATGATACGGTCTATAATGACCATCTAAAAGGTTCAACCGTATATCCGTATGTAAGTCGTATAATACTTGGATACAAAAATAACATGGTGTTTGTCATTTCTTACAAGAATAAAGGCATATATGAAGAATGCTGGATGAAAGACTGACTAAACTGAACTGTTATATAACGTGGTATTTAAAGTCAAATTCCGCTGTTCACTATTAGATTGATAGCATTTTACTGGGAGTTTATGTGAGCCATAAAATCCAGCCGAGCATGAATATAGTAATGTATATAGACGAATCGAAAGACGTACATTACAACCGTGTCTTGTGGCACTCAGTCTTCTTTCTACTGTGTATGGGATTCATTATGAATATATAGTCTGTTCCTAAAGCTGACCAAAGAATGAACAACGACTGAAAGTATTATATGGGCGATAAAAGTAACCGATACATATCGCTATCCATATAACTAGAAGTACTGCGTTTTGTTGTACGGGACGCCGTTGGGCACTGACCCCACACCGTACAACAACAGACAGTAGTTACAGAATTCTATTGAAATCCAAACATTGCAAACGTAAAATTAACTTTCAACCCTCGCATAATACTTTGCTGACCCAATGTATCTACGGTTTTCCTACCTTGGGAATAGTCAATAGATACGTAAATCTAATTTGAGATTGTGTATACAGGGTGCTACGGAACAGTGGTGGTAAAGGTGGTGGCGGGGCGTCGAGCTCGGGGGGCGGAGGCCGGCACTTCGGTCGATGGGGCTCGTTGAAAGATCGCCGCCAACCATCGCATCTTGACTTGTACGTTCCACGACAACGTCTCTCCACTGCAGATCAAGACTCCGGTGCGTATAATAATAATTATGAGACAATGATGTTTAAAAAAGTTTAGATGGGAATGGTTCAGCAAAAAAAAAAATTGTGGATAATATCATTTTTGCTCGTAATTATAAGTGTAAATGTAAAGAATAAATGCTTTCCTGCGTTTTTAAAATGATGGACAAATTAAACATTGACAGTGAGAGAAACAAAAAAGATATGATTTCATGCGTTAGCACTGTAGTTACTTTTTTATGTACTTATATTATAACGAAGAAAGATTTGATTGTTTGTTTGTTGGCATGGAATAGTACTGGACCGATTTTAAATGCTTTCATCTACGGGAAACTACGTTGCGCTTATAAGCGATGAAAATTGATTATATTTATCATATAAGTAAATTATTATCATAAAAGTAAATAATATTTAAAAAGTATCATGCATAACAATAAATTAATAACGAAATTGCAAATTCGATAAAAACAGTCTTAAAGTTAAATTAAATACTTGTAGAATTACATTTTAATACCAAAAATTAGTTTATGCATCCCAAAATTGTTTAAGAAATATATGAGATCAAAATTTTAAATTTGTTTAAGGAATATTATAACTTAGTGGGGTGGAAATGATTGAATAGAATTACATTCCGTTTCATTCACCTACGATAAAAAAAATCTATAATTCCCATGACCTGACAGTTCTCTTATTCCATTGTATATAGTGTCTGGCGAGGGCGGTGGTTGCGGGTCCCGTCGCGCGTCATTATACGTAGTGTCCGAGAAGGGCGTGACCGGTGGGGGATGCGCGGGAGTGGAACCTGTACCCGTCGAGTACCCCGACGCGCGTCACACCAAGCACGCGTTCAAGAAGCTAATGCGCGCCGCCGTACCCTCCGCGCCCCAGCCCACCCACCAGGCCGCGGCCAACGAACCGGGCTTCCTCAAGTACGTTTATTAGCGGATATATATCGATTGATATTTATAATTTTTATTGTCATTTTGAGTATTGAGTCTCAGCAAGAAAATTAACCAACTCGATGTGACGCTGGCAACATTGGCCCGAATTAGCAATCTTAATTACTAGAAATTTCGGAATTTTGAAAGGTCTTATATTAAATAAAGCCACAGGTTTTCATAATAAATATATATCATATATATTCGATATATATCGAATATCGGATATTTCGATATTTATTATAAATATCGGATTTTTGTGAAACCTGCTTATTATATAGGGTTTTATTATACAGGGTTATTTACAAGTACATGTTACAGTGTTATTTGGAACTACGTATTTACATTTATTATTCATGTTTATTTGCAACTGATTACCTTTATTTTTTAAACCATCAACATATATAACAACACCTGTTCTATGATTTAATTCATTAGATTTTTCGTACAAATATAAATTTTATGAAATTTTCCGCTCGATTGTAAATATTAGGTTTGGTTGTATTATATAATAAAGTGTATAATATAAGACTTTGTGCGAATCGTCCAATGGAGTATATTTTGGGCTCAAATTTAAAAGTATAATTATAGGCAATTACCTCCTTTTATATTTGGTGAGATTCGCGTGGCTTTTTTTTACAATGTGTTGTGCCCTGGCGTTCGGAAGTAGCAGAGTTTAGCCTGAAGATGTTTACTGGCTCGGGGCGACTTAGGCGGATATGCATTTTTTTTCCCATTTCTACCAAAATTACACTTGCGCATTCTTCAACGTTTTCAAAACTTTTTGATACGGTCCACATTTGGCTTCCGCAACTATGACCATGTTTATGTAATGTCCGACCAAATGCTCGGTTTCAGTAGAGTTTCGGCAGAAAACGGGTTTCGATTTAGTTTCAGTTTCGGAGGCAAATACAGTAGTAATTATTACAGTTACCCACTTGTAATTATTAGTATTTTATTGTTGCCATGTGTGTTTATTTGAGTAGTTTAGCGTGTGTTTCTTTTAAGTTAAGATGAAGTTCATTACTTAAATAATAAAATACGATACGTTAATATGATACATTTTTAATGTTAATATTTTTTAAATCCCTAAATAAATAAATGAAATTCAAAAAAGGGCCTACCCTTATTAAATAGACACCTCACCTATTTTAAGTAATTGCGCTTCAAGGGTTGTTATGTTGAGTAATTAATAAGTGAAAATGTCGAAACCTGCATAGATTAGTGATTTAAATAAAAAAAAGAACCCGCCCGCAATAAAAATAACTAATTCCATTCATAATAGCACTGTTTCTCCGTTTAGGTTGATAGAAGAGTCCGGATGGTTATGGCAACTGAGGCAGTTGTTTCAACTATCAGGCGCCGTGGTAGACCTTCTGGACCTCCAGGCTTCCTCCGTGTTACTATCCCTCGAGGATGGTTGGGATGCTACCGCACAGGTATCCACTACCGCTAATTTAATTAAATTCTACAGTTTTATTTACATATATAATGTTTTTGTTATATAAATTATAGTATATTATAGGTTTGAAATAATTTTCGAATGTTTATTTAATGAGTTACTTGCCACTTCTTGGTGCAAGATATGTAGTAGATACAGTAAGAAGGTCATAGTTGACCTTACTTAGTTCTAAGTAAGGTCTAACTAAGGTAACTAAGCTCTCCCAATTATTTTTTTTCGCCCGAACAGATATCCTCGTTAGCACAAATCTGCTTGGACCCATACTATCGTACGCTGGAAGGGTTCCGTATACTGGTAGAGAAGGAGTGGCTAGCTTTAGGGCACAAGTTTCAGCAGCGATCAAATATAGCACCCGCGCCTCAACAGGGATTCACGCCCACATTTCTAATGTTTTTGGATGCTGTACATCAGGTAAGTGACCTTGTGCCTTGTGCTATATAGTCTATTATTCACTCTAGGATTGTGAACTATAGTGTCTTTTAAGAAACATAATAAGGATCAATAAACTCACTAGCTCAAACTATTGGATGGTACGGGCTGAAATAATCATGTCCACTTTCAAATCAAATCATTTTAAAGCTTGACTCGTAAATATGGAAATAAATCTAAATGTAATTGTAAAATGTGCACTTTTTTCCGTATTACTCAAGAATATTATTTCAGATTACATGAAACGAAACGAAACAAACCATCATCGAGTCCAAATCGCATACCTCGCAATTTTTATCCTGACTTTATTTTTAGATTTAATTACCCAATATTAACTAAGTAAAAAATAAGCGACATTTTGAAATATATCACATCACTACATGCGTTAGTAAAGTTTTAGGTCAAAATTGGACATAATGAAGGAGAAGTTCGCTAAAAAGGATTTAGTGGAATTCAACCTCTTATTGGTTAAATAAGCGTTGTAAAAACATGTACTCCACGCGGGTAGAAAGCTACTATTTTAATGGGTTCAGACTAGCTTCGATGTAGTAGTTAAATGAAGAGGCTGACCAAAATCTGTAATAACAAAAATAAAAATAATAGTTATGGATTCCGAAAATTATGATAGAGTAAATAAAATAATTGTATACCCCGTTTCTGGGTTTCCTTATAAGCTGGAATTTAGGCTCATAAATACAGGTATTTTATTTTTTACCGAAGTAACATTGAATTTATCAAAATTTTCAAATTACGAAAAGCGAATAATAAAAAAGAAACTATCTACAAGATCACAGACAAAAAGTTTGGATGGGGGAAATGCCTTAGGCATTAAGTCCGCCTTGTACGTTTGTGCAAAAGTGTTAAATAAATACATGAATTTAGGACAAAATAACCTTTGTGGTATGGAGCACCATTCATTTTAATGAACATTAACATACAATGTTAACTTTAATTTATTTCATTTATATTGCAGCTACAAAAACAATTTCCCCTGTCGTTCGAGTTCAACGAGTTCTACCTTCGTTTCGTGGCGTACCACAGCGTGTCGTGTAGATTTCGCACGTTCCTGCTAGACAGTGAAGCGCAACGTGCCGAACTGGGATTAGCGGCTGCTGACGACAAGCGGGCAGATACCGCGCGTCTGGTGAGACAATAACATTGTTTATTATTTTTAATAATATATAATAATATTATTATTTTTAATAGCAAAACGTTTAGTTCAGTTATTAAAGCACAAAAGTCAAAGGCAAAATAATCTTTTTCTTAAAAGTACTTTTGAAACGTATAACATTTTTTTCCCTACCACTTGTTCAGGATGTATTTTGACTGATAAGAAGAACGAGCAAGAAACCCACCATCTCTAATGGGAGTAACAACATTCACAAAACCAGATTAATACTATAAATATAGAAAGAAAAAAAACTATGATATTACAATGATAACATAATAATTTTAAAATCGCAATAAGACAATTTTGAGATATAATAAGTTTAAAATAAATCGCCTATCCAGTTGCTGGACCATCTTATGTCCAAGCATTTTTTCTGTTATGTAATCAGAGACCTAATAATAAGCTTTTTGATTTTTTTTTTATTTCTAGTATTAAAATTGTGTACGTGATGTACTCCTGTTTTTATTAACCTAGGGGGTTTTTATAAACATCTTAAACGGGGTAACCTCTCAATAAGAGACAATAAGCTAGAAACTCTTATACCAGTTTCAATGTGGCTTTCTAAAAGTTGTAGTAAAAGCCTCTTAAAATCCCACGTCTCCCTTGTGGTTTTGTTATAATTAAAAGTCAAAGGTAATAATTTTTTTCGCCATTATATCGGTTTCTGTCTCCAACGATGTTAACATCTAATCGCTTATAAGGTACATTTTTATGCGCTCAGCGGTATTGAGATAGGAATTTGAACGCGCACCACAACAATGATAATTATTGAATATTACCCTGTAATTGGAGGTATATCTTATTATAGGTGAAACTCAATGTCAGAGTGATTGGTGCATTAGGCCGGCGATTATGAAGTATTATATAAATATATATATATATATATATATATATATATGTGCTCCTTATATTATTATGTATAAGACAGTTTACATGGTAAATGCTTAAAAACTTACGCAAATCGTGTGTTTATATTAGACAATTATGAATATTTAAAGCATTATGAACGCAAAAGTAATCAAATATAATAATTGGACTTTTTGTTTTAATATTGTGGGTATATGACATCGTCAAGTTTTGTTCAGGGCGTAGAAACGGGAGCGGGGCCTGAGGAAGAGGGCGCAGCGCCGTTGGGGCAGTCTATGTTCGATTACATAGACCGCCATCACCAGAAGGCACCGATCTTCTATAATTTTCTCTACACACCTGACCTTGACAACCCGGTAAGTTGTTTTATAGTGTTCTGTCTCTAAATTTAATACAACTTATATAGCGGATTTTTGTTCTGTTTATGTAGTTGGAGATATAAATCTCAATGTAAAATTTGTAAATATATTTTTCGTTACATTATATACGAACGTTAGATTCGATTATAATTATTTCAGTGCGATTTTAAATTTGCGAAGACATCGCGTTACGTCAGAATTGAAAAATATGCAATATTACATTCAATGTTGAAAATGAGACGGATCTGTCAGTCCGTCAAGGTAACACATTATACTTGTTTACATTAATATGACAACTGAAGGTTTATTTTATTTTTACGTAACGGAAACTTCTTAATTTTCGAAATGCTAATGTGGTTCCAAAAAAGAGTTTTTTGGTATTTATGATGATACGAAGGCAGGCCCTTACACTGCCTTTGATGCCAGATGGCAAAGGTATCGCGTATATTATTTTAACAAAATAATATAAAACGCTTTGAAATTTTCCGAGTGTCATGTTAACTCGTACCAGTTGATACGCTCGAAGCACTTTCCGTTAAATGTGCACTGATCTTTATATGTACTATGATATATATTTTTTAGTATACTTTATCGTTATCGTAGTTGTTTCCAGAATGTAAAACACAGTTTGACTAGATTTAAACTAAATCGAGTTTTTGCCAGTAAAATTGCCACCATGATAATAAGAATTTGTTGTTAGGTGTTAAGGCCGGTATCAGCCCTGAACTGTCTAGAGGTGTGGCAGTACTACGTGAGCGAGGAGTTGAGTCACGGCGCGCCTTACGACCTGGATACCCTCACACCACCAGAACTGGCTGACATACAGCGGAGACTCGTCACCGCCGGGTAATTAGCTTCGATACCTATTATATTATATTATACTGCTTAAGCTTACATGAGAAATATAATGCCTATTTGTTAAAGATTCTAATTTAGTAAAAGAAGGACTCCCATTCAGACCTTGTACTCATAGTGTATCCTGCAGAATGCGAAGAACTTGTAACTTTATACTCATATTTTAGAGAGCGAAATATTTCCATTCAAATCTTGTGCTCATATTTTATCCAGCAGACAGCGAAGGACTCTCATTCAAAGCTTGTACTCATATGGACTACGGACTACCTCCGTAGCCGAGTGGTTCGCACGCCGGTTTCAAGGTGTCGCCATCTCTGAGGTCCCGGTTTCGATTCCCGGTCTGGCCAATGAATATTTTTAAATTGTCTCGTGTCGAGGTGTTGTGGTACCTTCGTTATCTCAGATACTCTATAACCTGAGCAACGTATGGGATGTTGTCTAACGTTTGTGTTGTCCTGCAGAATGCAATTCAAACCAGCAGTAAGCGAATTATTTAAATAAGCAAACTTTTTGCTCAATCCCGCAGAAGGCGAAGAACTCCTATTCAACCATTTTATTCTGCAGAAAGCGAACGACTCGTACTTAAGCTTTGACTCATATTTACCCTGCAAAAAGCGATTATTTTGTTTGTAATGCTTTCTTTTACATCTCTGTTGTGTGCTGCGCAATAACTTATTTTTATCTTATCTCAGTAAAGGAACTATAAATTAGGTATCATTTAATTTTAAATCGACAAATTAATGTTAGTTTAAAGATAAAAAAATAATAAAATTGCTTACTTCCATACTTATAATATTTTCTGTTTAATTAATTTATGGATTATTGTGTGAATTTTGAAATAATCAGATTCAGTAATTGGGTTATGCATGAAAGTTCAATTTTCTCACTTCGGTAGTGTACGACTTAGCACGGAATATTTCTACGCTTTTAATTATTAATATATTTCAGTTTATCAGTTCGCTATTGCCTATCTAGCTGGTTGCGCTTCTCGTTTACCAATTTACTTAAACCTTCTTATGTATGTAATATCATCAAACCATTATACCAAAATTTTATGTGTATTTTGAGTAAAAACCCTTACGAAACTCCAGCAGAGTTTTTATCAACATAGTTGTATGGTGCAAGACCATACGTAACATGAATTTTCTTTTATTGGTGTAGCTCGGTCGCTAAACAGAAAGAATCACGTACAATGTCCTGATATTATATCGTCTCGTACGCAAACGTATTACCATTGTTCTCGTACAGATGTAAAGTGAACCTAAAACAGTATCTACCAGTAGGCACAAAGATCAACTTACTAAATACTAGTGGAGACACAGTAAATGAAAATAAATACATATTGATTTTGTTTTTATTACTGATAATTACACTTTCATGCTTATTATATTTATAATATTGCTTAAATTAATTATGTAAAAACAAATATTTTATGCTCGTTCTCACGTGACCGTAAACATTGCGTGACATCACGACCCTCTTACTCATATCAGAACTTAGAAAATTAAACCTTATGCATACATAGAACGATATTCGTTTCAGAGTGCCGTGACGTCATAACTACGCTATTTCAGAAGTGGCGTGTTCGCGGGAATTTTAGAAAATTAAATTTATTTTTAGATTTAAACTTATTATTCGGATGATATCTTTTTGAATATATTTCATGTATATCTATAAAATAAAATAAAAAGTTGTCTACACCCATATGATATCTAGGGTGAACTAAGCATAACTGGGTAATAAGACCTTGAATATTGAATGTCAGGTACGACAGCGTGGCTCGTTGCATGCCGGACGCGTTCTCCGGTCTGCTGGAGAGACTTCGACAGCTGGAGCTCGAGCTTGGCCACCTGCCGCAGAAGTGGCGAGTGCGATGCGATCAGCTCGATCTGCCCAATACCACCGAGCTCCAGGTATACACCATTTAACCTTATATCTGACGATTTATTTTAAAAATCTAATAAAAAAGTGCTACAATTTCTCTATCCTCATTGAAATGACAATATTTTAATATTAAGTAGTTTTTAATAAGAAACTATTAATGGTCACTAGATGGCGGTTCTATGTTTCTTTCAATTCTTAATGGCGTTGACGAAACCGCATTATGTAACTATTAAAGTCACAATCGATTTAAAAATTAATCATGATTTGAGTGACCAAGAAACTTAATTAAAGTCTTGGTTAAACCCGTCGAATGATTGTCATTAGCATATAACTCTTTCATTTGTCATTTCTTAATAGCTTTCAAATATATTTGCGTCTATCGCTTGCCTTAGACAATTCCGATTGATATCGAATAAACAATAAAGTTCAATCAAAAATATCGCGATCACATGCCAAATAATTGTAGCATGAAATTCGTGAATATCTTTTAAGTGCTAAAGTGGAAGGGATTGCGATATAATTTTAAATAAGACAATCGGCCTTCTGCTTTATCAACTAAAAGTCGAGACCATTAATTTTTTCTTTTAATGTTTCTGTCTTGAGGCGCCATTTTGACAGTTGTTTTCCCCATTTAATTCACTTTCATTTAAATCAAGAAAGAATATATATAACTAAGAGCTATATATAACTAAACTCAAATGTTAATGTACCTTCGTTGATGTCTCCAGCAGAGCGATTCTGTAAAAATCCAAACCCGAATTGGAATTCACTAATGTGTCCGAATTTAATAAGTGTAGAAATTCTATTAATGAAATTTTTATATCATATTTCCAATTAATATTATAAATATGAAAGTTTCTTTGTTTGGATGTTTGTCCGTCAATCACGCCGAAACTACTGAACAAATTTTGATGAAATTTGGTATACAGATAGGGTATTAGCTGACTTAGATAATAGGATACTTTTTATCCCACTAAACATTTCCCTAGGGTCCACGCGGGCGAAACCACTGGCGAAAGCTAGTAAGAATTAAAAAACAAGATTGATTGATTCATACGTGTCTTAGATATTCTATTGTATTCCTGTGTCATTCCGAAATTCATTTTACTTATGCCACGAAACGTTATTACCAGTTGAAGGTTGAGATGTTGCCGCTTTTGAAGTAAATTCGAATTTAGGTCCAGACTATTACAGAATCGCAGGGCAGATCTACTTTCTGTTGAAAAGTTTCCTCGTTTACTTGTTTATTGAATACTAGCTTTGCCCGCGTTTTTACTACTGATTTGTTCAGTGGGATAGAAAATAGCCCAAAATAAACCCAATCCAAGTTTAGCGTTTAATTTGATCTATCATTTAGATAAGGTTTCAAATCATGAAACGGAAATACTTTAATCTTTGCCACGGATAAAATTACAATGACAAATTGAATTGTAAACAGTGGTAACTATGACGATGTTTTAATTCCCTATAGAAACTTCCATTCCCATTTTCATCCCTTTATTGTAGTAGTAGTTTCGGAGCTTATTCGTCGCAAACAAACATACAAACGATCAAATCTTTCCTATTTTATAATGTTAGTATAAATTATAGATGGATTAGTATATTACGGGTGTGACAGTAAACGAAAATAAATACATATTATCATTTTTTAATTATTTTTTTTTCTGGTACTATTTAATATACTATTACAAATAATCACACTTTTATACTTATTATATTTCTTAAACTAATAAAAAAAACAAACATTTTATGTTCGTTGTCACGTGACCGCAAATAGAGCGTGACGTCACGCTCTTCTTACTCATATCAGAACTTAGAGAATTCAACCTTATCCATGCATAGAGCGATATTCGTTTCAGAGTTCTGTGACGTCATGGCGACGCCAACATTGGGGACGTTTTCGCTGGATATCTTGAATTTTTTTTTTGAGATATACATATCTCTAAAATAATAGTTATTTAAGATACGAGTGCGGAAAGTAAGGTTTTACGCTTTTACGCTCAAGTAAAACATTTTTCAACAACATTTTTACTTACAACATTTTTCAATGCTTTTTGCGAGGAAATAAAACAAATATATAGGTTAATAAAACTAAGTATGTATTAAAAGTAAAAATTATTTGTTAAAATTAAACGTGATATTTGAACATGTTTTCGTGTCATACATTTATTTGAAAATATTCGTTCTAGGCTCCTTGAAATACTTTTGCCTTTAAAATTTCTTTGGTGCTCGGCCAAAAAAAAAAAATTAAAAATATGCTTTTAAGCACGTATGCAGTAAAGGATTTCAGTACATTGTTATTTAACACGTGTTTAAAGACTCACTTTCGGTGTTTACAATGGATTAAAAAAATAGCGCTTTATGAGCAACTTGTCGCAGCGCAACTCGTCGATGTGCTCGGGCGTGGTCCGCCGCGCGACACTCGCCGCCCACAAGCGCGGCACCCGCGAGGTGTTGGTGCGCGGTAGGCTGGCGGCCGCGCCCCCCGCGCCCGCCCACCGCTGGGCCCCCGCCGCGCCCGCCGCGCCTGCCCGCTGCGACCACTGCCAGGACCTGCTGTGGGGCCCGCTCAAGGTACTATGGCAACTTAGTCTATTGGTGGAGGTGGGTGGCGCAATGAAAAAACTGGTAGAACTGCTCAGTCTTGATTTAGTTTCAATTAGTATTACATTAAATCACTTACAACCAAAAACTATGATGCTCACTCTAAGCTGGTCTCGATCAGAAAAGAAAGATTGACAACCAGCAAAACACGAATACGCGAATTCGAATATGAAAAAGTGATAATTTAAAATATTGACGGCCACCACTTGACCATAAACCGTTCGAAGAGTAAACCTGCCTATAGTAATGTGCTCGGACGTTACAGTACCGTAACGCCCGTTCTTCTAGACGCACGGTTATTCCGAAATTATTTTTATTTTTGGTTTGATTTTTGGCAAATATTAGCATAGCCTTAGAATGATAATGGTTTTGAATAATGTAAATTTTCGTACAACCTCGCCTTAAGCTACCACTTTACACGCCCATCCGGCGAATCGGTGATATTACGCGTGCTCTCTTTCTACTTTTCCTTTGTGGTACATGGCGATTCACAGATATGTTGCGAGATATATTTATGAAGGATGACAATCCGAGCCTGTACTATGAAGTGTAGACGCTTGTTGCTGAAGTTCTGAAGGATACACTGATTAATCCTGTTAATATTCTTCTCCAGCACTATATCTATCTTCTTTCTTTCTCACTTTCTCATAATGTCCAATCTTTTTTAGGCTGCTTAGGTTCTGATATGAGTGTATTGTAATCGTAACTCAATTACGATTAGGATACACTCATATCATAACTTAGATAATTAAATCTTATGCATAGATAGAATGTTAATAGACTGGCGTTTACGCTAGTATTTTTGAAAATTAAATTTATTTTTAGATTTTAGCTTTTTATACATATCACAAATATGTTTCATGTTTTATATGTTTCATGTATTATATATTTGATCAATTTTGCATTCAGAATGCTATACCGAAAAAGTGCTAGGTAAAAACGGTCAGTTGCACAAACGTCCATTAAGGTTTAAACACGCCTCTAAGATCTAATGAATGTCAAATTTGTATCGGTAACGTCGCTCTAAACTAATGACAATTTTAATAGACGTTTAAGCAACAGGGTGAAAGTGTTTTTATTAAGCGTTTTTCATTATTAATATATTTCATGTATATAGAGAAGTAAATATATATATAAAAAAAGTTGCCTACACCCCTACCGTACGTTACAGTCCGGTGTGAGATGTATGGACTGCGGTGCCGCGTGCCACGAGCGGTGCGTGGAATGGTTCGCGCTCTCCTGTACCAAGTACAAGGCGCCGCCGGCACCTGACCGGGAGCCGTTACGTCCCGCTGCCGGAAACAGTCAGTGACAAACATCTATCACTATATCATTATTAACTGAAATTGATGGTCGATGAAACTATTTTTTTTTGCAAATATCTAAGAGCTGTACCATCATCATCATCATCAGCCCTTTTACGTCCCCACTGCAGGGGCTTAGGACTTCCTTACGAATGGGTAAGGAGGGTGAGCCATGACCCTCCACGCTGGCCCAATGCGGATTGGAGGGTATTAACGGCTATAAATCCAGCCGGGATCAACGACTTAACGTGGCTACTGAAGCACGGAGTAGCTCGAGATAATAATTTTTTGGTCCCCCATCTCGTGACCGACCCTTGCGAAAGTTGCTTAACGACAACGATCGCGGGCCGCGGCGCTTATTCACTACGCCACCGAGCTACTTCAGTAGCAGTGTAGATTGGTAGGTATAAATAACATCTCGGCATTTGGCTACCATGTTTTTAAAGCCGGGACAATTCAACATGCTTATTGAGAAACAAACAAGTTACAGATAAAACTTTCTTTGTCACTAATCCGGCAACTTTCGAAAGCTAGTTACTTTCTGCATTGCTACTAAGACGCTATCAAGTCGTTAACTTTAGTATTAACTAGTCGCAATAGGGATGATGACTAATTTTTGTTTGTTTGTCCATCAGGTAGAGTGTTAAAAAATATTATACACTTATTTTTTTCGTAATCATGAAATTACGGCGTTACATTGAGTTGAAATTCCGCATGAAGTCACGTTAGAGTACGTTTTCTACTCAACTGTGACGTAGCGAGCCCCCACTCCTCAACTTTAATGCCTGTTATCTAAGCTATTTCTTGTTAAATTAAAGTAAAAAAAAAATACGTATCTAATATTTTTCTATTATCTGACTGACGGACTAAATAGAATTGCATTTTTTTTTTACCCAGTCATCATCCCTATTAAACTAGCTTATGTGTATGTGTTGGTACAGGTGTTTCTACGCTGCAATCATCGTCCCAGCAGTACTACGACCAGTTCTCGTCGAATGTGGCAGAGAATCGAACCCACGAGGGTCACTTGTACAAGCGTGGCGCTCTGCTCAAAGGATGGAAACAACGGTGAGTGAAATGTTACATATTACTAGACAGATCATCATTGTCATCAGCATTAAAGTCCTTAAATCTGAGGCATAAGTTTTCCTCATACAGATGCAGGAAGTTCGAAATTATGTCCTTCGATTTTTTTATTTAATTTAACACTTCTTTACCTTCTTGCCTCAAAATTGAATCGAAATTTGAACTTACACTCGTGGCGTTATTTCGTTATATACAACGTGTCCCAAAATTCAACGATAAGCGGGCGCCAAGAGGTACCCTTGCTCATGTGTACTTATGGAAAAATAAGAAAAAAATTATATCTTATCTTTTTTATTATAAAATTAAATTCGAAAATCTTCGAAAATTTACACCTTTTATGATATTTTCAACTACCACGACCACAACTTCTCAATTATGTTCAATCTTTTTTTGGTATCGGATACCTAAGAAGCACTACTATTCGCTACAACTCTTTCGAAAATAGAGTATTTATTAGATTAAAACTTGTCAATCAGACAAGAACATTTTATATAATGATTATGTTATGAAATAATTATGCAACAAGATAGCAAGATATACGTATGGATATGGAAATGGGTAGAATCGAAATATCTAGAAATATGCTTTCAAATAAATAAACAGCTGTTTACGATGGATGCAGATATGTTTATGCCGATACGAAGTCACACCGAGGCGAGTCGTGTTTCAGGTCTCGTGATGCACAAATAGAAATACTTTACTTAATTCATTAAATTATCTAGCTTTTTTATGATTCAATTTCAGACTATTTATTTTTTAATTCAATGCCTTAATTTCTGTGCTACTGAAAATACCGTAGATTAAACTTTTGTGATTGCGCCAATCATGAATGATGTATCTTCTTAGTTTCTAAATAAACTTAAAAATAGTTGATAATCAATAATTTTCATCAGTTGGTTCGTACTGGACTCAATCAAGCACCAGTTGCGGTACTACGACGCGATGGAGGACTCGCATTGCAAAGGATTTATTGGTGAGTTAATTATTAGTCACTTATTATACTTATTTATACTCACAGTGTATGCTTTGATAAACTGCAAAAAGATTATTATAATCTGAAACGCATATAGCGCCATTTATAACGCATATAACGCATATCATAAAAACTGATACTGATACATCAAGGCATGCAATAGTCGTTCGAATTTAATATTCAATTATCAAACGTTTCCACAAACAAGTGGAATACTTATCTGACTATAAATGACAAAAATACAAAAAATCTACTAATAAATGTACATACGGTTGTAGACAGTAAAGAAAATTAATACATATTTTTTTCTGGTAGTGTTTGTACTATTACCGATAGTCACACTTTTATTTATAATGTTTCTTAAATTAATTATAAAAAAAAATATTTTATACTCGTTGTCACGTGACCACGAACAGCGTGTGACGCTACGCCTATATTGAATTTGGAGAATTGAACCCTATGCACACATAGAACGATGTTAGTTTTATAGGGGCCTGACGTCATAGCGACGCTAAAACAGAAGTTAGCGTTTTAGCGGGAAATTTTGAAAATTAAATTTATTTTTAGATTTTAGTTTAATAAATTAATGATACTTGTTACTGTCTGCCAATCAGAATGATCCAAGTATCACGCCATCGAGCCAAACCACTAATGACTTGGAGTGACTGAACAAGATTCAATATAAATTTTAAGCGTTCTTTCTATGACCATCGTAATTGGTGGAATCGATAATTGAATATTAGTCAGACGAATTATTTGCATGCCGAGGGACAGCTGTCATAACCTTCAGTCTATTAGCTTTTTAGCGCCATTATTAGCGTTTAGTTTAGCACCATCTACTGTCAGTTTTTATGGTAAACTGTCATTGTGTCAGTTGTATGTTTCAATTTTTGCCACAGAAAAATCTCTACAGAATTTGATGAAACTTAGTACAAAAATAATTCGTTCTCCGGATTCATATTATTATTGTGTTTATGATATTATTTTTAAGTAATGGTATACTAATGACGTGTTGGTGTTTTAGATCTCGCTGAAGTGATAACTGTGGTACAGGCGTCACCCGCGCCTGGACCACCAAAGAAATGTGACGACAGATCGTTCTTCGACGTGAGTACAACATTAAATATAACACGATATTAAATAAAATGTATTTTTTTTTATTAACCAAGGTGTTCCGTCATCATTCCTCATTTGTAAAAGAATCTTAAATTATCAAAATAAATGGTTCTGTATCGATGTTTTTGTGTACGGGTGAATTATGCAGGAACAAATCGCAGCCATGTTTATGAACATGCACGCTGTGCCCGTGAGTTTCGATTTAATGACAAACTCGGGGATGTCCCTAATTTATGTTATATGAAAATTCACTCCATATTACGTACACACTGGACAAAAAAGGAACCGGCCGGTACTTGATCGAGGTGGAATTCGTCATCGATCTTCTCGAAGTACTTAGGTGCATTATAGTTTCTTTCTGCATATCTTTCAACTGTATCTGAACCTCGATTCCCATCGGCAGATCCATCCAGGTCTGTTCAAGGGCCAATTCTACTAAATTTTTTTCTTTTAAATCGAATCGAAAACGGATCGAAACCGAACGAAACTACAGTTTTTAATGGTTTTTCTATTCTACTAAGTGACATACGATACAATTCCAGCAAAAATAGAACTAGAATAGAAAATAGAAAATTTATCTAGTAGAATTGGCCCCAAGGTGTAGTAGAGAGCCACTAATCGTTTTTTTTGTGTGGTGCGGCTGCTACACAAGGTTTATTCAACTCTAAAATAAAAAGTATCTAATATACGAGCAAGGTTTTCACGCGCCAACAAAAGATATTATAAACTACAATGTCCGTCCGTATGATCCAATATTAGTTTTATGAAAAATAAATATTTAAGTTTGTTTTACCGATACCTTTATGCGCAATATAAATACTTATAGAAGTATAAAAAACAGAAGTCTCTACGTCATGACAGTACAATATAAAACTGAAAAAAATCTACTTTGATTTGCTGATTTTGCGGCCAGGTTGCCGGCGTTTACAAATAACCATGTATATGTCGCAGGCATTTTGTGTGAATCCGCCGCTTACATATGGCGTCGTCAATTTAGAAACGCTCGCTGTTAAGTAATTTGCCGAAGGCAAAATGACAACTCGTTCAATTGTAATAATTTTAATGTTGGTTGTAGTTTTAGGCTAACCATGAAGAAAACACAGTTTGAAATAATCAGACTAAATAATAATTAACTTTTTAAGATAATATCTTACTATCAAATAAAAACAATTAGGTGGGTATATTAATAATTTTTTGAAGTCTTGACTTATTCATCTAACTTATATGATATTTCAAAGTTACCAAATGATACTATTTAAAAAATATATTAATTTTAAATTGTCCTCATTATAACTTTAATTGTTTTGGTTAGTTCAATATCAATGTAAAATCGGTATTTCAACGAAATCACTTAATATTTCCCAATACCCCTACATAATTCAATACAAACATTCAAAGAAAAATAATTAAATTTTGTAAAAAGAAAATTACGAATATAAATAGATTTTAATAATTAAATCAAGAATTATTTTTTGCGCGTGTCAAACTTGAGTGTCGTTTGGACCCATAAAGAATATTCTTTTTAAAACATGCACACCCGTTATTTTAACGCTGCCTTTTAGCCGACTTGCATAAGCAATTGGTAAAATCTTTTCCGCCAAATAAAGATTCTTTAGAAACAGATTCTCTTAAGGAATTATCTTTTAATATTTTTTTGAAAAGAATATTTGAAGAATTTCTTACACTAAACTTAAACCAGTTATTGATAATCCCATTACTTATTCTAAATTGGTAAAGCCGTGTCTCATATCCAATACTTTTCCAGATATATTTTTAGCATCGGACCTTCTATCAATATTTGCGAAGTTAAAAAACTATATCTTCAATATCTACAGCTGCCTTGATGCAGCAAAATTTACACATCAAACACAAAACATTTGAGCTATAACCTTTTTTGCCAATTGTTTCCCTGCAAATATTGTGAACTGGTTTAAGACAAAAACAACATTTATGGGCACAACTAGTTCCGTCTTTAAAATCTCTAGATATAATTGGTTTAACTACGATGCCTTTCTTTGGTATGTTTTATGTTGGACAGATAGGACAAAGTGAGACGAATAAGTCGATCGCTTTTCTAACAATAATTTTTTTTCATCAATAATATTGGGCAGGTATCCTCCGAGAGCCAGATTATATATAGCATTTTTGAGGTGCCGGATTACATCAAAAATCCTTTCATTTGTCCACGGCTTTTTATAGATTCCGCTTGATTATCGTCTTTTAATCACAAATATTTTGCAAAAAGTCTCCTGAACACGCATTATTTGCACTATTTTCAATATCTTTTTGTGTCTCAAAACCACTGATTGATGCCATTTTGTTTATTATAATCAACAACAACGGGAGTGGGTAGAAACAAAATTAATTATTTATATTGCGGTATTATGTAGATGGCGTTTAAATTATCAATCTAATGTTTAGGCATAATATACAATGAATCGGCAATATACATTTTTCCTTCGGCATATTACATAATAGCGAGCGTTTCTAAATTGACGACGCCGTATGTAAACGGCGGTTTCGTACAAAATGCCTGCGACATATATATTATATTGACATATGAATTTAAACATAAAATGACATCGAATAATGCTTTTTATATTAAAGAAATATGATATACTCCATTTACAGTTACGTACGAGCCGGCGCACGTACAACTTTTGCGCAAGCGACGCAACCGCTGCACAGGAGTGGATAGAAAAACTACAAGCCTGCCTACAGTGAGCGCAAAAATCGCCCTTAAAAACCTCACTGTTGAGTTCGTTAATGCAAATCAGAGTCTTAATATTATTTTTCGACCATCGTCTAAATAGCGCCTTTATTTAAGTAGTTGAACGCTAGATTTATTAAAGACACTTTTTTTTTCTTAAAGATCTTTTCTTGTAGCATTCTTCAGAATTGTTTTAGACTGATTTTGATACGCTGTGTTGATTGTTGCGTTACGTACATTTTCAGTTTTCCAATTGTGTACTGTACTTTTCTATAAAGAAAAAAAAAGACAGATCTGATGTCGCTGTCGAATCGTCATCGTCTAATTACATTTCATGGCCGATAATAATTAAATTGGTAACTAACTTTTCTTTGTATGCTTTCGTAATATTAAAAAAGTATACATAAGTAAATTAAATGTTATTAAGATTTCGTGGCAAATTTGTGTGTTAATTTTTTTTAATGAATTGAAAATAAAGGAGAAATATCATATTTTAGTTTTGAGAAAATGTTCTAGTATTAAAAACATATGATAGGGTAAACTGTATTCTTATTGGCACTGGTCGTCAGATTAGTATCGGCACATCTTAAAGTGATTATTGTGAGTTGTTATATCCTAAAAAATATTTGTTATTAACAATACAATTTCCTTATGATTGCGTTAAAATATTTCAATCGTTATTTTTATATTGTACCTATACACTGGAAATTTGTAATGTTTTTAGCAATCTATGAGGTATGTTTAAACTCCATTTTTTACAATTTTGACTGAAAAGGCGTATTGATGTGTAACTGAGTTTTGTAAAGTTTCGGAAATAGGTGTCTACAATAACTCTATGACTTTGTTTGATTCTCGAGTTAGATGTGTGCCACTATATTCATTGGACTTTTACTATTAACAACTCAACCTATTTCGATGTGATTTTCACTGTTGTGTAGGTTTTTCGCGGAAGGTTTACTGGGTCTTCAACTGAGTAATAGAAAAGTTTACATATATAATTAATGGTATAAAATTTATACTAATGCCTAATGCCTAATAACTCGTTAAATGTTAATTCAAGCTAATAGATATATGTTTTTTGTTAATGGCTAATAACTGTGTAGTTTACCCTATATAGGAATATTCCAGGACGTCCATTACTCATTATACGTGTCATAAAATCCGATCTCGACTCGAAATTACTGCGTTATATCAACGCAGACATATTTATATCATAGCCTGTAATATTATTGTCGACAAGTAGAATTAAACAGATAATTGTTACGTTGAATATTTGTAAATATTTTTATGATATTATTATTGTTGTGTATAGTATTATTTTCTATTATGTGTATTTACTTGTGTTGCGCAGTAGACAGCATGCGAGGTTATATGTAATTGTCAAATATCTGCAATCTATTTTAGACTTTTAATCTATTGACATCTATTATTAGAAAATCGATTGTGGAAATTTGAATGTTATGTGGTAATTTTTTATGCTGTTGCGTGCATGACTGGGAGTGTCCAGTTGATATAGACGTGGATTTATTTTCACGGACTTTCCTCCTTTTTAATTGGACTAAATAAATTGTTTCAATTTTTTTTTGTTTATGAAAATTGTGGACTTTGATCTTTAAGATTTCTTTTATTATTATTTTAAAGTTACACAATGAGGCACACGAATTAGGATCTGGTTAGCGATAGAATATGTCACAGACTAAAAGACCAAATATGTTTGAATTACGGTGAACTTGTCCATGGATTCCATTATTGTTAAAATGATAAAGCCTCTTTCCAACTGGGATGCTCAATCGACATAGATATTTATTGTTTTTGGAAAGTTCGTATATATTTCTTCTAAACTCTGTTCCCGAGAGTTGTTATCGTCGCTCAATTATCGAAATCTTATGGTACGAGGCTCGCAAGTATTATCAAGCGTGAAACTATAGAAAATGCCTCAAGTTATTCTCAACTTATATGTATAAAGGGTGTTAGGAGTCCTAATAATGTGCTAATACTAGACGAATAAATAATATTGAATTTGAGTTGAACTCCTGCTTTCCGTGTTGAAAATTATTTAATTGTATTAATAATAGAACCCTAAAGTATAGATTATTTATTATAAATACGCTAAAAGCTGTTGAAGCGTGTTCTATATTGATAAAATCAATAACTCTATTGCTGCGACTTTGATTTTCATATGGGATTAACTATTTTTTTATCGCGTTTACGTTTACATTTTTATGGAATAGAATCACGTAACTTTTGGATGATATTTCTATTGGGAATCAATTGCGCATTCCAGTTGATTAAGATGTGACGATAAACGTTCATTCGTTTAATGTAAATAATAAAAATATATGAAGAGTTTATCATCCATTGTAAGTTGAAGGAAGTTCAATAACATTCCGTATATTTTTATTATTGAAAAGTTTATTTAGAAGCAAGAGCATCTTTTAATTTAAAATGTATATAACATTGTAATTAATTATTTCAGAGATATTATTATTTTTATTACTGGCCGGCAGCCATTAGTCGATAAACAATTTTCGTTATAAATATATATATTCGGTTCATGGTGCATTTTCAATGGTCCACGGCGACCATAGGCTGGGGTACGGGAAGATTTCTGTAACGTATCAAATAATGCGGCATTGAAATTGCGCAATTGTCTGTTTACCACCCTTGTGGCTCATTTACACTGGTTGATAACGTACGCGGGCCAGGTGAGGGCGATTTGCTCGCTTTCATTGGTCGGTCATTGTTTTATTCGCTGTCAGCCAGTGTAACTGAACCATTGGACGTTACCTTTCCTATGCGATACTCGTCGATCATTGAAAATGATATCTCAATGATGTTTTGTAAATAGGTTTCGTTTCACATATCAGTCTCGTTGGTCGTAGAGACGATCTGTACAGTCAACAGCACGTCAGGTTATACAGAAATGTCAAGATTCTAAACTATATTTTAAACTTTAATAGATTTTGTGTAGAGTTCAAAATCGATGAAATATGTCATATCGTGATAACCCGACGTGCATCCGTGTGTACATAGTCCAGTGACTACTCGTCCGTATGTTTGAATTACTCCCACAATATCACGGTTAGATTAAAAAAAATATTAGCATACTGTATTGCACATGAAACATGATACAGCTCACGGATAGTTACAAAGTTAATAAAAGATTGTGCATTAGCAGAAATTATTTCTTAAGTTGAGAAATGAATTAAAATTGAATAACGATATTATGTAGAAGTAGTTGTAACTTTGAAAAAGGTTTTTTTTTTTATTAACAGAACTGACTCACTTATATAGGGCTCTTTGTAAAACGCAGAACTGACATCGTAAATAACAATGTCCGTTCTACCACTTTTGATAATAATTTATGCAAAAATTGAATTTTATTTACCGCGCGAATGTTAAAAACTTTACGTGTAATATCAGTATGTTACTATAATAAGATACTTCACTCAGCGCGCGAGCATAGATGTATATATGTAATGACAGCACAATATAAAACCTAATTGTTCATTTAAAGTTACAATTCGTAGATAAAATGTTGTCGTTTAAAAAGTTAGCTATCTAATCCTGCGAGGTGTCATACAAATAACACTATGCTACAAATTATAAAAAGAGTACTATTTTAGTATCCGATCAAAATAAGATAAGATTTCATTCATTTCATTTTCATTTTACATGTAGAAATTTATTTATTCACTTAACATTGGCAGAATTGTGCGAAATGCGCAGATAAGCCATTAATAAAAGAAGAAGAAGAAGTCGACTCGTCTCAATATGACGTTTTATCTTCTTCCAATGTATATTTGCTTTAGGCGGCCAATTATTTAATGATTGATTTAATCTAAGTACCAAATTTAATCCCCGCTTTATAATAAGACGGTGTATTGATTTTAACCTTGATGTTGATGGAACGTAACGGAACATTTGTATCGTGCTTAGATCCGGTTCGCAAGGACGAGGAAGTCACTGTCGTAATACATTGTGCATTAGTAAATAACAGTGCTGCTAATGCGTTATACATATGCAGCATTGGGCTTAAAAGCGCATTTTGACTTGCGCGTGAAACGTGTCTTCTGAAAATGTTCTTCTGGCAATCAGCCTCAAGAGATTAATCGTGCCAAATTTGCACAGAGTGCATTCGATTGCTCACGACGATATTGATTTAAGCACGCTTGCTCGATGTAGTAATTGAATGTTATATCTATGTTTTGAGCTTAGCCGGATGTAGGCGGGGCGACATGTTTGATACTTAATAAATTAAATAGGACCAATGTACAAATGCACGAATACATTGAAAAGTGCGGCGAAATCTAGAGCTGTGTAGTAATTGAAGTGTGTAATAGCTGTTAATATTGTTTTTTTTTGTTCATCGACATTACCAAGTCCCGCTCGAACTATCCTTTGCCACATTCAGTCCTAACTCCCACCATATTACGTTCTAGCCACCGTTTCATATCACATTTACTCCTAGGCATTCCTTGTCCTCTACCCCGTCCTATTCTAACTACCCATTGTCCATTCCAGGTACTCCCTTGTCTCGTTTAATTGACGTAGTCATTTCTGGTAGACAATGTGGTAGAAAATATTTCCATATATTTAAATTTGTAGTACAATTGAGTGAGTATTTTTCATTTACGTTTTTCCGCTTGGTTTCGGATTCATCTTCGACTATCAACTGTTTTATTTTGTGATTGCCCTAAAACAAGTGTCACCGTCGACTCGCACACTACTTTCAACTGTATTGAAAAAGTTGCATTGTATCGCCTCGCCTAAATCTTGTATGCGAACAGCAGTTTATCATTAGTTTCGTAACAAGTGTCGTACTTTGTAAGCTTCAAAAACTCGCCATATCGTACGGATCTATTGAACTATCACGTTTTAGCGAGTGATATCAGAATTAATTAGAATAAGCTTCGCTTTGCCGGTCAAAATTGATATGTAACTGTGATGCCTATTGCTGTACACCTCTCAAACCCTAGTGTATATTAGTGCAATATTAATATGAATGTGGCTAGTGTACCGTGTACCTCGATTGTAGTGTCACAATATTATATACTCATTGTACAGCGGTAGGATAAATCGATACCCGTGTAACTCTGCACTGCGTACCATCAAATAAACAGATCGACATTTAACTTTGTTTTATTTAATATGCGCTCATTGCTGTTGTGAATAGAAATAGTTACCCAAAATATTGTCGCCATGAAGACTAGCTGACACCAGACATGTATAAACCGTGATAAAAATTGTAGAAAATAATATTAACTGAATTTATAATGTCTAAGCAATTTATAATGTATATGACTACAGGGAGCCTAAGGCTTGGTTGTTTTTTTTTTTAGATGAAATAGCTTTCCTTAATCAAAGCGAAAAATACAACAGGCAGAGTAGGCAACTGCTTAGGGGCTCCGCCTCCACGACGATCCCGTGCATGCACCAAGTAAATAAAACTTATAGAACGTTAATTTTTGCAGCTAGAACATATGAGAAAATTCCTCCTTAATGATCACCTAAATTTAAAAAATATCATTGCGATCGTAAGTGATTAGTAGAAGTAGTTTTTCTAGTCATTAGAAAATTTACGATTTTGTTCAATCCTAGTACTGTATGTATGTATCCATTGGCAAGAAACATCTACTTATTCAATAATCCATTTAAAAGGTTCTAATGGTGCAAATGAAACATAATATCATATGTAACAATTTTTATTTTACCAATATTAATAATATATTAACATATGTGGTCCAAAACCACCCACTTTCTGATAATAATATAATACAAAGAATTTTCACAGAGGTATAATGAACCCATAACAAATAAAACAAGGGAATACGACTAAAACCTTGTCCAGACCTACGAGCGATCAGACATGTACCGTTATACATCGCTTATTTATAACAACTAGTGTTTCTAATGCGTGCAACATTTCAAGCAATGAATTGGATACCGCCGTTAAAGATTCGCACGTAAAACTGGACAAGTTCTAATGAACTACGGTCGATGTCGCGGGTCAAAGGTTAAAACGACTCCCACGTCATCACACAATTACAACAATATTTAAAACGAAGTAAAAAAGGAAAAGAAAAAAGGTAAACATTTTCATAATATATTATCATTATAATTATTTAGCCTAAACAACTAGATGGCGCTATATTCGCGTGCTCGCTGCACGGTGGATCGTTCCCATAAAAACGGCTGGACATTATTATATGTATTATATTCAATATTGACCATTAAGAACAAACTATTAGAAGAATTTAACTTTTATATTAATCGCATGTATTTAGAGATACATAGACCATATACCTACACATCAACTACAAAAACTTTAGCTCATATATAACTTCCAACTAGTCAAAGTACACAGTAAAACACTAAAGTTTCTCGAGCTACACCATAGACTAAAACTGTGTGTCCAAAAATTTGTACAGAGTCGATCCACAATGCAGTACAGTCGCGCACAAAGCGATCACCCGTCGTTGCGCACTCGCATCACTTTACTGCTGAATTATACATTATATACAACGACAAATAAATATTCAATATTCACGACGAGAATACGCAATCGTGTATGTACACAATGACATCTACAGTATTACGGCGACTGCCGCTATATATATCACAAAAGTGTATTTCAATGCAACTGACTGTGGATCGCCTATTATAATATTGGCGTTTACTTTTTGGCTTAACTAGGTTCTCATAAGTAAGGGTGATTATCATTCGCGCTATCATAGAGGTCTTCGCACATTACGACACGTCAAATATCAACAATACACTGTAATATAAACCGTATATCATATAAGTAATATTTTAAGTTTAATTTTAAATTTTATTCAAACGTGCGTAATGGGAGAATTCCTTGAATAACACCCGTGAAATGATTCCGCCATTCGCGTATATCACACGGCACCATAAAAAAAAACCTCCTTGTAAACGACATTAAAAGTTAGGAATAAACAATTTTTGGTTACCACATATCGTACCTAGAACAAATACATCAAAAATATCCGAATCTCGCACGTTTTCACTCGCGATCTTCTTACTACACTTCTCGGTCTCCACGAGACTCGTGTTCGTTCGTAATAATTATTTCTTCTTTATTATACATTATAAAAACATACAAAATTTGGTACCAAATATGATTTATATGACTCCAGAGCTGCTATAAATTAGTTTTAAAATTAAAATTCGATGCGCGCGAGTGGAGTTTCCAATTTTTCACCAGAAAAAGTTTATATGAACTTCGGTGCTGATGTTTACTTAATTAATTTACAAACATGCATGTACTTAGAACATCACTGCGATAATTATAATGACTACTCGGTGACTCTCACTTATAAAACATTACTAATTTTATAGGGAATCTGTCACGTACTCAACACGCCGCATTCATAATTTAATAATTAATGCATACAGCTATCGCAAAGCTTACAGACAGTTTATTTCACATTGAAATGGATACGAGTTACGTGGGATTTGGTATTACCATATATTTTTGTATATCATAGATATGTGTTGTAATAAACATTTATACTGGGCACACATCGTTTCTGAATATAACAATTGTGGTCTCACATGACATCTAATTACATGAAATTTAATTGGACGCTAAAAAAATGAATAAATATGATGTAAGCAACACACAATAAGACACCGCCGTAAGAAATATTTATTGCCACAGGTGTTTATGTCGCAGACTATTCTTGGGTATGTTATTATTATTATTTTCTTACTTTCAGCTGGGCCGGCTTGTTTTAATTTTGAAATAAAATAGTAGTGGGTCTGTGCTTCAACCAAAATAATACTATGATGTTTGTAATTCGTTAAATGACAGCTAAAATATCACGAATGTTTAAACAAAATTGTGATAATAAATAAAAGTTATATATAATTAACTGCAATTATCAACAGTCAATAATAATCCTGCGACATATAAACCTGTGGAATACAATTTAGTTACAAAAATGTTTTCACAGACAAATATTTGTCTCAAAAATTAGGCCATCTGAAGTAAGCGGTGTGATAAGACGTGTGGCGATCGTGTTTCCACAAAATAGTAAAAAATACAGAACATATTCATTGCAAATCGGTTTGAAGCCTAAATCACGTGGTGGTATATCGTTATATATCGTTATCATCTGTTAAGAATATCAATAACGAGTACGCGTGCACTCAATAATACATGTTACATGTTAATACACGGATGTTCAGTACTTTTTCTACTTTGTTTTGTGTCTTAGTGATTCGTGGGGGTTAGTGGCCCACTGGTTCCACGTAGTTAGCCGGATAGAGGCCCACGCGGCCGTCTTTACGGCCTTTACACCAGCCCTGTTCGTCTTCATCTTCTAATTTCTCAAATAAGTCCCCTGAAAATTATTAATATTTTGAACTTGTGTAAAGCGGGTCTTAATCATAGAGAATCAAATCGATGACCTGTAAAATACAATATGCCTACGGCAGAGGTTATCGAAGACATATACTGGACCTTTTTTATATTATTAAAACTTTAACTAATAAATTATTATAAGAGATGAGATTTTAGTAAATCATGACGTAAATTGATTATAGTTAAATTTCCCGATGTAGAGGTACATTGTATGGAGCCGACTTCTTCACTCGCAGTGTCGGGGTACAGGGACCTGTACCTTATTTGAAGCCAAGCTTATCACTTCACGTGCATCTGATCAGGAACTTACTAACTTTCGGCGTCTCGGATAGACTTAAGCGAGGCCGGTCTACCTGATAAAACCAGCTGCGATTACTCTACGTGGGGGTAAGGACCCGGGTAAGGAGCTTACTTAAAGCTAAGCTCATAACTCTTCCTGCCGGTGTCAAGGGATTGTACCTTGTCTGAAGCTTAGTTCATCACTCTCCGCGCCGGTGTAGTCGTACAGCGCCCGTACGGGTACTCCGGGCTCGCCGGTGTCCGTTAGGGCTCCGCCGGACTCCTCGTCCCATTCGTCCTCCTCGAACGGGTTGTCCTGTTTGGCACCGTCTTTCACCGGAGACGTTTTGTTCGATTTAGGTGCGGATGCGGTTCCATTTCTAGAACAGTTCATGTTAAATAATTAGTATAAATCATTCGATTCTTTTTTTCTATTAAATAAAAACTTATTATTTATTTATATCGATTGTAATTTACTTCTTAAAGTAATATGGTGAAGTTTTTGGACACGCTTTTTGCTCTCGTCACTTACGTGCGACGCATATTGTTTGCTGGACTATGACCTATGAGTAAGCACAGATCTATCCTTTTCTAATCATGATTTTGTAGTTAATATCGTAGTGAATTATTGAAATACTTTATTTCTACTTTTTTACTCATTCATAGTCTCAAATAGTGACAGTTCATCACCTGAAAACAGGGCAACATAAAAATTATGTTATCCTACTTTTACGACTTGCGCGATATTATAAGCAACTGACGCATACAATGTTCAAAAGCATAAAGGAGAGCTAAATAAAGTATTAAAATTGTAATAAAAAATAGTTTTTTAAAAGCTAGCTTTCATTTGTGCGCGCTAAAATGTAAATAAAAATTTTAAGCAAAACAAGTTCATAAAGTTAATCTTAAAGTAATTATAAATAATTAAAATTTCCTTGACTTGATTTCCGACTTCATTACTGTTAAGAGAAAATTTTGATTATAAGTACTTTAACATCGACATTATGAACATCTTGCATAAAATTATTACGTTTTAGTGCCCACAAATAAAAGCTTTATATTATATTTTTATTTTTGACTTTTTAGTTTTATCTCATTCCATTCATTTCGGACATAGCATCTGAATTCCAAGGTGTATTTCCTGTTAATTATGTATATGTAGTTGTTCTAGAGAGCCCAAATACGATGCACTTGTGTTATTTCATTGCCAATTTCCTATGACCACCTTTCAGCTCCATCATCACCAGGATAAGGCAAGTTAAATAAAAGCTTATAATTAAAATAAGTTCAGTAACGTGTTCAGACTAACGGCAGGATATGATCGGTCATATCGGTGACCGTGTATCGATTGTGTGCGTCGGGGCGGAGCGCCAAGCGTAACAAATGTCCGCCGAGCGTATCCGCCGGTCGTAGCGGACTGTACTCGGTCGCGCACGCATATATTTCCAGACGCTCTATGCTATATGAACGGGAGGGAGGGTGGAAAAGAAATAAGAAGGAAGGATTAGGAAAAGTGTAAAAAAAATGGACATTAGGTAAAAAGGTAAGGTTTCAGTAAGGCATAGGAAAAGTACCTACAATCTTTAATGTAACTAATAATAATATCAAAGTTAAAAATCCTGTTCACAATTCACTTTAAATTTAACTCAAATTTTTAAGCGACATATTATCTTTAGGGTAACAGAAATAAAACTTTGTACATAGTGACAGAAGGACATAATGAGTTAATTCACGATAATAGTTTAAAGGAATGAAAAAAAAAATGAAAAATGTTCAGACATAAGTAGGAAACATTAACGTTTATTTTATTTTTATAACACTACTTAATATTATGATAACTCACGTGACAGCGATCGGGGCGCTGATACTCTTTTTGTCTATGGTGTTATTAGCGGTGGCATTCTTGTCATTGCTCGTGTTATTGACAACGGGCGCGGGCGGCGGCTCCGCGTGATTTGACCCCTTGTTCGCTTTGTTGTTGCTGATTGGTGGTAACTCCTGTCCATAGACAAACAATATTAACTTCGAAAAAAATAGAACAATCTCACAAGACTTCAAATAAATAACGAGTATACTTTAGATAAAATTACTTTTAAATATTATAATATTCTTCTGTAATATAATAAATTAATCATAGTTATAAAGTTTTCTATTATGATCATGCGTTATGCATTGTGAAAGCAAAATCCATCCATGCAACATCAATACAAAAAAACATAATAATAAAAATGAAGCACAAATAACCGTTTAGATTTAAATGAGAATGACCATAGTCCCACACATTCTACCGTTTCAAATAGAAGCTTTTATACTTTATACGCATGCCGGTTTATAAGAAACTTAATGTCTAATATTAAAGCATTCTCATTTGAATCCCGAAAGGGCCTAACCACAGCAAACAAGCGACATTTAATGTGAAGAAACTGTTATAGGCGACGTCCTAATCGGCTACAATCGTACGCTATTAAAAAAGAAAATCACTAGATTTGAACGTCTAATTGACCGTTTTTTATTACAGGCAGAGGTCTACCAGTAAGCCAAAAAGTCCTTGGATTAGAAAGAGAGGGAAATATTTTTTACCATTAGTCTCTCTCTACTGACACGTGCACAGTAAGACAGCTATAAACAATTCGTCGAATAATCTTTTTCCGAGAGTTAAAGAGAGAGAGAGACAGACTTTCTTATCAAGGCTACAGGCTTGGCTTCTATCCTTATCATATCAATACCTTTATGGGGGACGGCACAGGTGCGTTTTAGCATCGTACGACGGGCATCGGACGATCGTTAGCCGACTAGGACCTACTTACTTTGAAACTAAATGAGAGCACTGTGCAGTGCTTAGACCCTCTTCACGATGGAGCTTTTTCAAAATGTCCTTATAAGACGGCTTCTTACACAATATCAACGAGATATATATTCATGTATATACCTATAGGTACTTGTGTTTGTTGATGGTGTATTCGTGAATCGTGTTACATATTCCGTTCGGCAATAACAATTTTATTTAGAAACGCGATAATAATTCGCTTCGTTTCTAAGCAAATAATGTTCACACGATTGTGCTTACTGCACTCGTAAAGATGCGGACACACTGATTGAACAATTTGCGGCAAATTTGTGAAGAAATATTCTGCACTATTTTAAAGAGACAATTTTTATTTTGGTGTGCTCATTGACTGAAATTTTCGATTTATTCGTGCATTAAATTTACTTTATAATTCAAATTATAAATTTAAGCGGCATAAGATTTATAATGATCATATTTGTAATATTTGAGCTAGGTATAGCGTGATGTGTTACAACTTACTACAACACATACCTGACATTCAATGACAATATTACTATTTAATTATGTTGCAAAGTAGTTCATTCAAACTGAGTATAATAAAACTGCATATGCAGCAAAGAGTCGAGATGAATATGCCGCAAAGTGTCCGAGTTTTCGAATCGAGTTTGTCGTGACCTTTTTTCCTAGTATGTCCACGGCTTTGTTTCTAACTACGGAACACAGAAAAATGTTAGAGTGGCGGTGTTCTGTCATTTATTTGCGCTCGAACTGTTTGGGTCAATTCGTTACTAGTCACAATCTAATAAGTTAGTAACAAACTTCGCTTCATAGGAGCGCAGGTGGCCTTAATTATATATATTAAACTAAATTTGCAATTCATATGGACCGATAAATATAGGAAATTTTTTTATGTTTCAGTAGCGCGCCTGTTCCGCCCCACGAGTATATTCTAACATGTTCCTATGTTCCGTAATGTGTAACGTACGTCTTCGCTGACGGGCCTCTGGTTGAGCAGCGTGATGGGCCCAGTGGGAAGGCTCTCCTTGGACTTGCCCTTGGCGATGTCCCGGAACTCCTCCGTGTACTCCTGCACGCACACAAGCACGCGCACACGTCACACACACAGCGCACGCCGGACACGTTGGGACGTATATATTTTTTTAAATCCTTTTATATTTTATTACATACATTTTCGAATCACTGATGTTGAATATTATCTAAATCAAACTCGTAACAAGATAAAGCACTAATATAAAACGAAATTAGCTATTGTAGACGTTTTAATTAATAATATTGATATGTCAAAACTACGAATAAAGAGGAGAAAACAAAAATTAAGTATTTAAAAATGACAAATAAAAAAATTTAATATTGAATTCAAAATCATAAATATGCACTGTATCAACAACTATTAAGCGTAAAGAGTAGTTTATTGCTTGTATTTTAACCACTTCTTAGTAATTATTTGTATATGTATTTTTCTTCCTTTAATTACCGTACTTATTCAATATTGCAATAGAGTAAAAGTAAAACTCATTTTTTTTAAATATACAAAATCATCAGCCTTTTTAAATTTAAGTTTAAATGTATAGATCCCAACGTATCAGCGCACGCGCATATGCAAACTCAAAATGAAGGAAATAAAAAATTAAATAAACAAAACAGCTTCACGTCCATCTAAAGCCAATGTATCAATGGATATGTCAGCTACATTTCATTACAACTGACGATTAAACTGAAATAAGAAGTGAAAGACATCATGCTATTAGAACAATAAATAGAGAAGAAATGGCTAATACTGCATAAATCCATTACAAAAAAGAGACAGATAATATTCTAAAGATATCAATTTTCATTCTCAGCTTGCTCAAGAAATATCAATAGTAATAATTTACAATTTAAAAAATAAAATGAATTTCTTCAGTTCTATATCACACAATATTGTTCGCACCATTCAGGCTTCAAAGTGGCATCAGAAAATAGTAGTTCCGTCTCGTTCTATTCGCCTTTGGTAGAGTTCATAGAAAAAGATGGAGAACGGTCGATTCTATGACATGACAGGTGATTTTTGGTGAAAGTCAAGGTAGCAGAGTCTTATGTATGTCAATAATTTGTGAGTAAATAAAATGACAATAAGTCATACTGTAAATAAGTTCTTAGTGTGCCCTATTATATACATCTACCTATTATATTGCAGCACAATGAAGTTTAAAATGCATCACAAGCATCCATGAACATTTAGAATGAAGTATTTTTATTAGTTTTAAAGAAGAATACAGAAGAAATCTTTGGGTTTATATGTATCACCAGAATCACAATTTCTGTCACAATTGTTTTGTGTATTTATTTATTATCTTCAATTTACTCATTTTTTTTTTCATATGTAAGTCAAATTAATACGAATCGTATTTCCAGTGTACCTGCTACCTAGACGTCTAGTTAGCAGGCATATTAAGATCTTCCAATATATCTTAACTTACAGTGTCACTAATTATATGGTCTGTATCACTATTTACTCACAATTTATTGACATACATAAGACCCTGAAGCTCATTGGTGTGCCTGCTACCTTGACGTTCACGATCATTGCCGGTGCTCGAGCTCAGTGGTCATTGCAGCAACTTCAATCTAAAATGGATTCTATTTGCAGCTGTCACGGTGTATTGTCGTGCCTCACCGAGAACCCCCGTGCATAATTTCTTTTTTTTTTAAATATTGTATTTGTGAATTCGGAATTCAAACTCTTCCAAAGAATTTCCATTATATTTTTTTGTGTCATTTCTGTTTCTTCCATGGTCATTGGTACATTGATAAACTAAGTGACTCAGCTATTAAAATGCGGTGAAAATTATGCTTTCATTGTAATCATTGCAGGGTTTGTGCTATTTCAAGCGTGTATATATAATTGCCGAGTCACTTTATTGAAATACTCCTGCTAATGCGTACGCTAATATTTATTGTGAATGTTATTTAATAGACATTAATATTATTAAATATGAATAATGAATATATAAAAAAATGAAACTATTTTTTATTAATAGAAATATGTTGAATAATGATCATCATTAAATGGTGATGTTTCTACAAACATAAATTAATATCTTGGAACGAAATTATGATGCAATATTAATAACATTTTTGCCTTTAATAATTCTATAAATGTCAGTTTGTGGCAAAACAACTAAAACGCAAAATAATAGAGCTTTTGAAGAATTAATCAAAAACCTACCATAACTTAAAAATTGCGAAATCATAATTTAAAACTTTGAGCTATCACGGCGTAAGATTTAATTTCCGATTGGGCCGTGTCAGTTTTACACTAGCTTATCTATTTTAAGCCTTAATAAATGACATTCACAAAGTATGCGCATCCGTATAAACAGCAATATTCCTTAGGCAATCGCTAGACCACGTGAGAGATCCCGTTCCGGTGGCGCACTACCCACACCGTCGTACCATCTGGGCGTCGGCATAGAAGCGACTGCTGCCGTAATGCTGACTGTCCACTTCTGAGGGGGCGACTTTGTCGAAGCATATAGTGGGTAGGGCGAGTCGGACGCGTCGCATGGCTCGTAACCACGCTCCGGGCCGAGTCGCCCGTGTCACTAGCGCCGCAGTCGCCGTCGCAGTGGTCGACAGGCGCGCCGGCAGATATTTATAACGTAACGGCTCCGGAACGTCGGTAGTAGTTACCTCCTTATGAACACACGGTAAAGTATAGATGCCATCCATTTATTCAGGTCCGTATCTAGAACTTTTTCAACCAGGGTAGAAAGTTGACATTGCGCCCTTACCCCCGCCCCCACTCTCCCCACGCGCACATTTGTTGCAATGTACGATTAATTATTTAATTAAGGGGTATTATTTTTTTATAATGAGGACTTTAAAGAAAACCGTCAAAGGTATAATCATAAACGAAAAGAAATAGTTTTGTTTCATTTAAATTCTTTCTTCATAATTAAATGTTTACTTTTCCTTATATTGGAGCGGAAGGTAATAAATATATGGATGACACCATAGTAGCACTGACTCTTGCCTTGTTGTACATACAACATCACATCATCGTGTTATCATAGAATGTCACATTTCCGTTATCAATTTTGAACTTAAACACTGCCCCAAATAAGGTTCGAAATCGATTCAAGAAATCTAGACCACTTTAGATAACATTTTATGCTGTTGACTGTACAGCAAAGTGTGATAACAGTTTGATATGTGCTGTGGGTATACTGTACTTTGTGTTCAGAAGGACATTATATTTGTTTGTATATTCATAAATGGTATGATTTTAATTCAAATATCTATTGACTTATATATCTACAATAAAAATACAATTTGATATTTTACCAAATTTTCCAATTGTTATACTACAGTAAATAACTGATTAATGATCTTGGTTGTTTCGTTTATTAATCGTAATTAAAATAGGACTTGTTTAATCTAACTATATAGAAGCCTAAACATCTATCTGCAAGCTGGGAAATGTAATATCTACACATTACACAAGTCTACAGAGTTCAAAATGATAGAACCAAGAAGGAAGAATAGAATACTGTATATTTGTCATGCTCTTCGCATCTGACTAGTTGCCTACAATGCAGTCTAACCAAATGAAAGCATTCAACTGTATTAATACAATACACAGAAAGTACAAACGACAGCATGTCAAGTTACTACAAAACACCAAACTCGGTTGAGTTCAAATTAGATTTGAAAAATTTGGCTCCTCGTAGTAGTCTGATATGCTGTAGTATATTTCAGCTGGCAACAATTCGACATGGTAAAACTTTGAGCTTATCAGATATCATATCAATAAAATTATCTTAATTTCCATTGAATCTTATAAGATGACCAAAATGATGTTTATTCAAATAAGATCTGTTTTTTTATATTTCTAATGTTGAATAGACAGCGAAAACTTCTAAAAAAGGCAGTTTCGTACGTGCGTACGGACCGAATCGACCTTTGCCACAGATTTCTAAGTCTCTTTTTTGTCACATTTTGGCATTTTTACTGTTACTATTAGTTTTTTTTTTGTCGGCGCTATTCTAGATTCTATTTGTTTGTTACTGCGGATATTTTAAAGACGTTAAACTATTTTCACTTTTGACATTAATAGAAATTCCAGATACATTCCAGGTGCATACCGAAGTTTTAATTTTAAATGGATCAGTAGTTGCTGGTGATACGGATTTCTTTATAATATGTTTTTAAATATTATTCATATACGTATTTGTTGAATAGCAAATTTAATGATCATATTTATTCATAAAGTAGTATTCGTTTCATTACCAGAGGTAGTATCCATACATATATACCGCGCGTCTTGGTAAACTGACAAATTATAAATAAGTAACCCTCTTACGGTACTTAATGATTTTTAGCTCGTTTACCCAATAATTGGATGTTATTATAGCGTGTACACGTGACCCATGTAATCTCGTAACACTAACAAGATCACTGTAAATTTTCACAAGGGCTATTTAATTTTTAGCTATAATTATGTATAAAGTTATCAATATAATGTTATGCATCAATATACAATTAGATTATACAGATTTTCAGTTTTGATTAAAGCATCGGGGCGTAGAGATTCTACCATTAGCAATGGACTGAATTATTCCATAACCAAGGACGTATTTGCCCTTGTAACAAACTTGCCATGACCCTTAGCCAGGCTGCAAAGGCGGCCTATGCTAAGCACATTCTTTCTCAACCCAAATAAACACTGCTGGATTTTATTTTAGTTACAACTATGATTTTGATTTAAAAAAAATCAAGGGACGGCAAACCCAAATATAACCTGAAGTCACTATTCTCAATTTTTTTTTTTATATTATCAAGTTTATCTAAATGAAAACCATGTCGATTTGTCGTGCCGAAACGTAGTAAAGGCCAGGCGAGTGGAAGCTCGGAAGTTCCAGACGTTCGGGGGTTGAATTAAGCGTTACCTCGAACTGCGGCCACGCCATCGCCATGTTGACGCCGTGATTGTTGGCCCACCACTTGAGGTCCTTCTGGTGGTCAGCGTTGTTTATCGTGTGATGGAACTCCTCGTATATCTGTGGTAATCTGCAATTTACAAAACATATACGTCACATGTAGTTTGAGTAAAGGGAACTCAATGACTCAGTGGTTAGGGTGTCAATCGGCAACTCTGCGGGAGTTAAGTGACTATCGCAAATGCCAGTCATGATGGGCGACCAATTAATTATGTGTAGCTCCTGCGTCCTTCGAAAGATACAACTATTTAGAAATCTACTCTCTCTCTAAACTTCCACTTAATATTAGGCACTACAAAAAGTCTCCACTCATCAATATAGTTCAGTCTGTGAACTGTGACGTCAGTTTTCAGCATAAAATTAAAGATAAACTCACGAGGGTTCTTGACTGATGTTGAGGCACTTGTGGAAGCTGAACAGTACGTCCTTGAAGAATGTCAGCCGTTGCGCCTCCATCTGCTGGCAGCGTTCAAACACAGTCGTCATGTCCTCTATATAACGGGGGTTGTAAGCGCTGATTTCTTCCAGAGCCTTCTGGTACTTCTCACGGTTCTTCGCCACGTCCTCCCGACATTTCGCCACCCGCTCCGCCATCTTCTTCACCTGGTAACAAAAGCTGATGTGAAATAGACATCTTTGCAAATGAACACACAAAATGTTATAACAATTGAAAATGAAGTTTATGTTTAAGAATTTTTTGAATGTATATGTTAAAGCAACTAAAGAATATTTCGAATGCAGTTCTACAATCGATTAACCATAGTAGGAATTTAAATGTATTATTTTAGTTAGTTTTAGCGCTTGAGCATTCTTCTTAGGCGACATAACTTTATAAAAAGGCTAGCATATATATAAACTAAAATAGGTAATAAATATAACATTTGAAGCGCCTTCTGTCAAATAGATATGAATGATTCTAGCATAAAGCTAACTTTATTTATTTATCTCAAATACCTATATGTACACGAATGGTGGAAATTACAGAAATAATTATTAACAGTACATTTTAAACGTTATGTTAATACTTATGTATGTACGTTTCATTAAACAGCACATTCAAAGGGTGAGACGATTCAAAGGCATTGGACAAAGGGAACAAGCAACATACACTCTTACCAGCAACGTCCTCTGAGGCAGTGAAATCAAAACAAAAGCAAAAATTAAAAAGAAAAATATTTCTATTACGTGTAAGAAAGATTGAACAAAAAATAATTGTAATTTATAGACTTTTTTATTTTGATACGTAAACAAACTTACCTAAACAATTTAAAAGAGTTTGACTCTGTTTTGCTAAGAAATCACTCTCAATGAAAATCACAAATTTCTTTGTCACAGATGTTTCAGAATACTGTGTGTTTGTTATGAATTTTCAATGATGACGTAAATGTTTTATCAAAGTTTTGATTAATCATTAACGAAGTTAGTTAAAGAACGTTAAATAAAATTAATTAATGGAAAAATATGAAACGACTATAATTTAAATATACGCATCTATAAACAATGGTGGTAGTACAATAAAACCAATTTATATTTCGAAACAAAAGGCGTCCTCTTTGTTTTGGGACAAACGCAGTTGTGAGCAGTAAAGGCACTCACATACGACGGGCATCTTGCCCGTAAATACTGTGTAATATCGACACAGTGCACAGCGTTGGACACTGAATAATAAGCGGACATAGGACCAGTAGAATATTAGAACGGTATCAGGCTCAGTTTTGCTAGGATTATCGTAATTGGGGTAAGTAGTGGCTCTTTTAACACAGTGCACAAAATAACAAAAAAAAAAAACTGTAATTATCGATTCATCGAGACGCCAGTTGTACTTAGCAACTGGCGTCGAGATAATGCATCCTTTCCAGCTCAGTGATTTTTCCACTGAGTAGGTCCTTTAGCGGAGGAGTCTCGCGTACCCCCTGCTGCTCCATCAGGCAGCAGGGATAGTGCATAACGCATTTTCATTGGTCAGAGCAATGAGCTGATATTTCTGTAGTCGTGTGTTTGTCGCACTCTTGCAGAGAGGATAGAGTAACTTTTATCTACTGATTTATATTTCATGACAAAAAATACATTATTATATTTTAATTATTTCATGAATATCTTCAATAACATGTATAATATAAGAAAATATAATCTATTTTTATTCTTTTTAGGCGGGAGGTGTAGTGTGTTTGTAAGTACTATTGACTATCGGTATTTAACAATGCATATGCACGTATTCATAAAACTTGTTTTATTGCACAGTGATATTCGTATGCACGCAGCCTAATGTAGCGGAGTCTGAACAAAAAAGCTACAGTCATTTACCAAAAGAGGTGATGCTATGTTTGAGAATGATTTGACGGTATAAGTTTGTTGCTGCTACTTCTATAACTCGAGACACTGACATTAGTTGTGACAAGTTCCAAACTTAATTACAAGTAGCAAATATAATAAAGGGGGATTCGGAATAGAACTAAGTATCTATATGTAAACTTAATTATGTATTATTACCTTAACGAATGTATTATTACCATGTTACTTGCAGAATAAAATATTTTGTATTTGTATTTGTATTTGTATTTGTATTAGTATGTAAAGGGCTAAGTAAAATCAATTTGTCCTAACTGTGCATGAATTTCAATTACCTTTGACGCATTTCCTGCCTATCTATTTTAGGTCAGACCCTTTGGCTAATAGACAGAGAGACTTACTTTATTAACAACATTTTTTTTTAAATTAATGTAGAAAGAAAAATAGAAAATATAAATAAAAAAAAAAATAGATAAATTAACATTAAAAGACATAACATAAAAATAAAACACAAGTGTCAACCATCGGCGTGATCGGAACAACAGCGACGTGTCACGTGACGTTCAATTTCCTTTGATACGTGTCATCACACAATTCTAGGTCAATGTGAACAGTGAACGGGTAAAACGCGTCGACCAATTTCATAATATCTTCGTAATATTAGAAAAAAAGCCCGTTTGAATTAGCTAAAACCATTTCACTATTTATTTATTTAATCCTTTTAAAATGAACACAAAAATAAAAATAAAATTAGGTAATTTACTAACAAATAGGTTATCTATTAAGGGTGAATTGTCAAATCATATATTTGTCAGTTGCGACGTTCTGTGATTGACGCGACGTGGTGCATTTTCTGTCATCTATTGTGTCGGGTTCGATTCTTAGGCAAATGAATAAAAGGATGACTAAGCTCGAGAACTTGATTTAATAAAGGGTAACAAAAAAAAACCCTTTCTGCTTGTTTGGTGACTAATTTATTATATATTATATTGTTATATTATACATTTTTATTGAGTTCAAACTCGTGAGCATAACGGAAGCTAATAAATACATTTTAACACTATTTACAATAAATTGCTATTGATTGAAATTAAGTATGTATAATGTTTCTAACTCGACGAATTTTCACGAGCTAGCCAGCGATTCTGTAAAAAAACCAGACCCGAATTCGAATTCACATCGTGTAGTGTAGGAATTAATTACTATTGATTCCGTTTTTTGTATAAAAATACAAAAAAAAATATTGATTGAATATACGTGTCTCGGACATTATATTCTTATGTCATTCCAAAACTCACTTCACTTATGCCACGAAACTTTATTACCAATTCAAGGTTGAAGGGATGCCGTTTTCTGAAGCGAATTGGAACACCTGAGTGAATTCGCATTCGGGTTGGGATTTTTAAAGAATCGCAGGGCTGGCATTCATAAAGAGCATATTGGATTACTCAAAATTTCAAATTACGAAAAGTGAACGATGTAAATGACAAAATCTTTGCATGCGGAAACCTAGGACGAAATAAACGGTGGTACGACGCACCGTTACAATATGCACCTGCCCTAAAACTTGATAGTGCTCTATTAAAATATAGCCATATCCTAATACTAATTCAGTTACTAATATTGATTCAGCTAAAAGCCCATTCTATTTAAACAATTGTAGTCAACAATCGAAAGCGAAACTAGAATACTACTATTATTATATTTACATCAGCATTATGTACTTAAATTATATTCTTTTTAAAGGTCCCAACATAAGCCAGAGCGCAGTGGTGGCGTTATAAATCTAGGACGAGACGAGGAAAAATTCAGACGGAGCGTTGTGAGAACATGCACGGGTGTTTGTTTGTCAATAACATTTTTTGTGTAAAAAAATACACCATATATACTGATATAATATTCTAAAAGGGATTTTTTATTGTTTGTATATTTGTTTTATTTGCATTGAATAGACATTGAAACTACAGGTTCGATTTAAAAAAGAAAGTGACCTACGGTTAACTGCATCATATGTGGGTAACATAGGAAGCCCAGATAAATGTATTAAGTCAATTTATGTATTTCGTAGTTCGAAACTTAAATTGTAAACAAAAACAAAAGCACATTTGATCCCCCTATCTTATAGCAAAAACAGTAACAATAAAATTAAATATAGAAAAACGAAATTCACTAAAAAATTCATTTAAAATATCACCAAAGGCCTATTTCACACGACTAAAAAATGTACACCGCAAGACTGACAGGTGGCACGGCAAGTCGGTGCATATCTGCCCCACATATATCGTTACATAACAGAGCAATGCCACCGACAAGGTTTCAACTGCATCGTCCAAATAAACAGCATTAAGCACCGTGTCGCCGTAACCGATTATTAAAACGATTATCTTATAGCGGTAATCGATTAAGGCACGATTTACGATTGTATAGTTTGTTTGCACCAAGGTCGCATTGAATTCAATACCTGCCTGAGTAGAATACAGATTGATAATTTAAGTACAGTGTTTCATAGATACCTATAATAAAAAAATTACCAGTTGTTCATAGTTTATACAATACAGATAATTCAGTAAGCGATAGGAATTGTATTTTAGAAATTAAAATACGCTTTTCTATTTTAAGTTATAACTAAGATTGGTAATTAAGGGCGACTTGCTCAACGACTGATTTGAGCTATTGCCAAAAACAATTATTAATTAAAGAAATTTTAACCGGCACAGCGAAATCGGCGAATTGCATGATGTAAATTATGTTTGGGTTAATGCGTTTTAATTTAGTAACAGCTTAACTCAGCAATTGTGTAAATACTAAAGGGCCTTTCATAAATTACATGTCATAATTTTTGATCATCTTCCTCGTCCTTATTACATTCGATCTCATTTTTGAGACTCCGTGTGTTGTTGAATATTGCACAGAATTTTATACAACAAAAAGTTGCATCTACCACATCCTGCGTAAGATAGTATTGTATAATAGCTTCACATGAAATTGTAACATTATATAAAGTTACATAAATTAATCTATTATATTTGTTTAATATATAGTAGAATAAAAAACAACCATGCCGAATTTCGTAGTTGTAACCCTTAAAATGTCGTTTTTATTCTACTTATCATCTTTAGACCGGTCTCCTGTAAAGTTGCATATTTGCCCATGTTTGTTATTTAATTTTATGCAAATTTACAGAATTTTGTCTTGTCTTTATGAATATTTTTTGAACAAAATAAGAAGACCATCATATTTTATCAGCATTCAGAGCTGTGAACGCGTGGTATAAAACTTGAGATAAGTTGAATTTGTGAAGATCTGTTTCGATA